ACCCTCCCTGGTACGTCGGCGGCCCTAATTACGCTCTTTGACTTCTGACTGAGCGGTCCGGTATGCCACTTCTTCAACTTGAGGGGGAAGGACGGAGTGCTCAAGTCACCGGTGATGACTACCGAATCGTAATCTACGGAGGAAGTCGTAAAAAATGTCTCGATAACCATTTCGTTGCGGGAAAAGGAGCTGGTAGGGGACTGCAGTCAGGTATTCAGTGTGACCGGGATTGGAGTAGCGCCATGAAGATTCAGGGACTTAGATTAAAGCTGCATTCCCCATAACCCTTGTCTCTAAGCCGGGGCCCATGTAGAAAGGCACTTAACCTCCCACCCTGACCCCTCTGTTTCTTCTGCAGAATTCTGACATGCGTCTGTCCGTCGGAAGTGTCCGGCAACATCCGGGACTTTTTCACGAGTATGATACCAGCGTGGGAGTGTTCGTGGAGTATCTCCATCTCCGCTAATTTCTCTCTCCGTGCCCTAGCTTTGCTGCACACACGCGCTAGGATTTACCAGATGAGAGAACAGAACTGGTTGCGCATTTCCATAAGGGGGCACTTACAACGTTGAGCCGGAGACCGACGGTCGCCACAAGACTGGAATTGCTCCGCATATTTGCGCTTTATTTTCAGTCTTACGGGGGAATTATGGTTGTAAAGCCTTACACTCCATGTGCCTGACCCACTGACTTGTGTCCGTGCGATAGCAACTTACTGCGGGGGTGTTTGCGGTTTCCGTTACCCTTCCCTCCTGATAAGTCCTGACCAACTGACTAATTCGTACTGAGCCACCCACGCGCTCTTTCACGCCGTACAATGAGTGTAACTTCTGTGTAGGCGAGGACCGTGAGCCAAACAGGATGGCGAATAGTCTGGGATCGCGAGTGAACTTCGGGTGTTTTGGCCTCGGAAGCTTACCGGTGCCGTCTGACGGTAGACTGTCAAGCCCAAGTTCGTTTGGAAGCAACTGCCGTCTTTGAAATTTCTGGAAGTACTTGTTTTTAGCAGAGAGGTTCCCTGGCGGTTATGAGATTGCATGTAGAGCCGTCATAGTGTTAAAGTTTGGCTTCCCAACCGCTGTTTATCTCACTTCATCCCCCGATGGCAATGGCTCAAAAATCTTGACTCCTTTTCTGCAAGTACTGTGAACTTCTGGGTGGAATGACAGGGGTGCGCCTTCGGTCACCTTCATGATGTTCGGAAAGACTCTTTAGGGTGATGGCGTGTCTTAAGGTGATTGATTGCTTCAAGAAAAGCATCATGGTGTAATTATGAGAGGAGGGGGTCGTAGTACCCGGCAGTCGTTCGCCAAATTTTCAATTTGAAATCGTTTTCTCCCGACCAAAAAGTTGATGGGGTTATCCCTTCTCCTGCTTGCGTTCGTCATTGGTGACCCTCCTGACTTCTTGGAGGGTTTGTCATGCACCCTTTCAGGTTGTTTCTCGGTTGCAGTGTCTAAGAACTTTGGCCAGTGTGTCGTCGAGAGTCCGCTGGAAGGCATCCTTCTCCACGCGCCTGACGTTCCGCGTGGCCGGGTAGGGGACATGGTAGTCCGATCAAAGGTGATCTTCGAACTCTGTAGTGTGCGCGTAACTAGAGACCTGGCTATGCTTTCGGATTCCTTCATGTTACACCTCCACGTCAACCCTAACTTGTCCGCGGAGATTGACTGTCTTCTTTTGGTGGAGAGGAACTTCCTAGGTCCATTCATTCGGAGTGCAGGGAGCCTTCTTCATTCCTAACAGACGCACCATAACCATTTGCATGATTGTCTGTTTATGAGCTTGTAGTATTGTCGGTGTACTTTGCCGTCACAATGGTGGTGAGCCCACCGATGACACTGGTTGTGCGCAATTACCCCGATGACCATTGATACGGCTCTAACGCAAGTACCAAGGTCGCCAGACGCTGTGGTGTGACCCAACTTCCTTGTAAACAATGATGTAGTTTGAGGTGAGCTGCTTGTGGCCGCTTTATCCCGGTGCTTGCCGCGTCATTCTTCCCTGCAGGTACAGTCTGACTTATGCCACACGTGAAAATGCCTTATGGTTCAATACGGCTACTGCGCGTCACCCATATGCAAGTAGATAGATGTTTCATTCCCATGTAGGATGCACAAGCGAAAATGCAAGTACTGGAAGAGAAAGTAGACTATATGGACGAACAGACACTAACGCTCGCAGATAGTCACAGATATGACCATAGAAGACGCTTTTCCTACCGATGCAGATGATGAAGAGATAATGAGAATATATTTAGCTGGCATGGAACCTTCGCAGACACGAGGTTTACTGTTTGTCCCGGACATTTCACCACAGATCCAAGTCGGCATTCCCTGTCACCAAGTGGGAAGTCCAAACGCTGTCTAATGAAAGATAAAGAAAGTCTTGTGCCCTGATTCTCTTGAACGCACAACGACTTTGCGAATAGCATCTTAGAGTGTTTTCTTTGGCCGTCTGAAGCATTCGGTACTTTCCAGCGGTAGACAGTCGCAATTGACCTTGGCAACGTCTTTTCAGTAACGCTGTACGAGCCAGAAAATGGCCCGCTTTTAGACAGTGGCGCATTATCTAACGAGTAAAGCCAATTGATTGAATGAATAACTCTCAGTGATTAAAAATAGGGGATGCCGTCCCTTCCATTAAGACGGAAGCGTTGGAGGGATCGAGATCCGGAGGGAGAAGGATGTCTCATACGTACTTTCCAGGTTTGTGGGAGTGCTTCTTCATTCGGCGGTGCAGTGCTGACCTGGGCATTGGTAGTTTGTACCTAAGTCTAGCCGAGAATGAGATAACCTTCAGAATACAATTTTGCCTAAATTTCTACTCCAGCGGGTCACAATAAGTCTACCAACCAATTTCGGAGAATCATCGTACACAATCGTTTGACAGATGCTGCTATCCGAAGTTCAAGGGAGATAAGCCTTGCTTTCATCATACGAAGGTTCGACCAGACTTTAGAGGTGGGAAATCTTGAAGATAACCGGTCAGGCGTGAAATGATTCATTCAAGCTCTAAGCCATGCCCATCCACTGCTGTCGTGTCCGCTTGAACGCCTGGTGAATTGTGACGAGGTTTACGCTGCAGGTTGCGTGGGAGATTTGTTGGAGGAGGTAATGCGGTTGAAACAGAAGAACGTCTATTCCGAAAACTTAAATTTAATCTAAGAATATGAACTAAACGGGACCGGGTGGCAGCTTGCCCAATGTGTGTATACGTACGTTTGCGTCGGAGAACTAAACTTTCGGCGTACATGCAGAAATGCGAAGAAAGAACACTTTCAGTGGACAGAGGATAGGTCAGAAGTATCTATTTAAGCAGTTTTGTGAGAGGGGATGCGTTGGGTATCGTGATATATACAAGTACCTGGAAGTCAACCATCCCTCTCTCTAAAAAAGGATAACCCCGTCAAGTTAATGTTAACTAAAAGCACTTCTCTGATCGATTATACAACTGGAGTGTAAGCAAACAACTCTGAAAGTATGGCAAAATGTTTTGGAAAGTTCTTGAAACTTTTAACCGGATCAAAAAAGGGAATTTCCTAAACGTAATTTAAATGATATTGTCTCGTATGGACTATGATTTGGCTGTCTGAGGTAGCCGCAGTTTGGCACAGTAGCATTCATAAGGGTGATGATTGAAGGTGAGATGGAAATTTGGACCGTGGTCGGATTCAAACCTGAGATCACCGGGTTTCCGGCCCGATGCTCTACCAGCTGAGCTATGTGGTCAGGCTGCTGACCAGATTTTCATCTCGCTTCAATCACCAAGGCCTCGTCTCGAACACTATGTGAATTCGTGACGCCTTACTACCACTTGACCGCATTCATGCTGACTGCCTATCCAGGACTTCCCATCTCAATGCATCATATCGGTTATCTTTTGGCTATCTCAGATAGCCGCGGTTTGGCGGGCTAGTATTCATACCGGGTAATGATTGAAGATGAAATGAAAATTCGGACCGCGCCCGGATTCGTTACAGTTACAGTTCAGAAATGATAAGTCGATAAAAAATCTAGGAATCTTTCTTTCTTACGTAAGACGGATGTGCAAATTGTAAATGAAGTAGCATTTTGTTGGACAACTACCCTGTCCTTTATATTCCTGACTCTCAGTGCGCACCTGGAAGTCATTCAGCCCTACTAAAGCCTGGTTGAATCTGCACTTTTCTGTTTGTGCGCTTATCGGGGTAAGTAGCTACACAAAGTCTACCACCCGACAGACCGAAAAGGGGAAAATAAATCAAGAAATGAGGGGGAAGTCCAGGCGAAAAATCAGGCGACACTCGTGGGGAAATGCAAACGAGTTCTCCCTTCTATGCTTTCCCCCCTCATTTGCCTCTTTTCCCTTCTGAATTCTCTTTCCTCTTTCGACTTACACCTTTACTTGTCTACACTCCCTCCTAGAATTCCAGTTGTTTCCCCCTGTTTCTCTGCTTTTCCCACTACAACTGTTAATCTAACTTATCCTGTGCAGTTAAACAGTTACCCCAATGTTTATTGTAACCGCGTTACGGCTCCCCTTTTTTCCCCTTCAATGTCTTCTGAAAATCTACTTTTCCCATCTTCTCCCTCCTCTCATGGCTTTCATACGCTCAATCCCCATCACTGTTTACATTCCTGCTCCAGTTCTTATTTACTTTCCATCTCCTCTCATTTTCCCCTTTTAACCAGACTGGGTAACAAACAAAATGCAGCCGCGCATGTAAAATAGCAGAAAGTATAACCTCCTTTGTGGGTCACAGACAATAGGTTCCACAAGAGTTACTCATTCTGGCCATCAGACGTTCTTAGAAATGGAATTCAACGGGTTGTTAAGAGAGCATGAAGAAACCTTGTTAGCATATTCAGCCTATCAGAAGCGTGCCCAATGTCCAATGGTAACAACCACTTCAAAATACTATGATTTCACTCAAATCTTTTTGAAATGACGTTATTACTCTGAATTGGAAGGGTTCCTTCCTAAATTGCTTTTCGTGGCTGCAATTTCACTGGTTCGCGTTACGAAGTTAAGTAACCTTGAGATTTCAGACCTCGATTTAGGCATCTACATTGCCAGTGCCCAGTGTGGTTATCTTGAAGTTCAGATTTTCAGTGCGTTTCCATCTGTTAAGCGCTTTATTTGCCTGAGAATGGTTTTTATACAGAATATTCGATCTGAAATACGTTGCCATCATAAATTTGTGCCTAAGGATGACAGTGAAACATTACACTATTTCCCATAGAAACGTTGATTGTGAGCCGAAATTTCCGAACCTAACCTAAAGTTATTACCGGCTGGGCTATCGTATCCCGTAACTGGAGACTGTTTTAGGATACAACGTCTGAGGCTCGAGCTTCAGCAGGAATTTAGAAAATTTGAACCCCTTAAATGAACTATACCACTGCAAACTTTGAGGACTACGTGATCTTAAGTGGCAGTACCTCATAAAAACAAAGTCTTCTTATCCAAAAAACCATCGACCCATTTATTGTTTATCCGAAAGCACCGGACACTATAGTGCCTCTGTGATCTCTTCAAAAAGACCTAGTGCCTGATGCTTGCGGGTAGACAATAAGTGGGTCGTTGGTTTTAGGATAAAAAAACTTTGTTTTTAGGAGGTACTGCCGATTCAGATCACGTAGTTCTCAAAGTTTGTAGTGGCGTAGTTCATTCAAGGGGTTGGAACTACTTTCTAAATTTCTGCTGCTTTCAGTTGCATGTATTTCATCATATGACACTAGCTTTCCTGGGTTCGATTGCGCATGGCGGAACTCACTTGCTACGCAAACCAGCTCGTGAGAAAAGAGTTTCCAGTAAAACTCAAGTGGTTTTCCAGTTGACAGACACTTTTTCAGATTTGTTGTTTGAGAATAGGAGGCTGGGAGCCTATATTAATCCTTTTCCAGTAGATTTCTGTGCTTGTCCAATCCCCTCTTGAACGAGTCATTTGATACTTCTGGAAGTCGGTTCCAGGTGTTGATTACCCGACGCGAGAACCAGTACTCTGCGGAGACTATGTTCGTTCTTTGCTTTTGTAGTCTCCTACTATGTCCTCTGAGATGTTCCGATCTATTGGGAAGGAAAAGAGAAGATAGGTCAGGTTCGAAGTCATTTCTTAACATCCTGAATAGCATAATTAGGTCCCCCCCCTCTGTCTGCGATAGGACAAAGTGAAGAGGTTAAGCTCCTTAAGTTGATCTTAGGTGAGGTCAGCCATTTCAGGGATCATACTAGTGGATGCCCTCTGAAATCTTTTTAGAAGGTCTGCATCACCTTTCAGACAAGTATTAGCCACCTGTGTTCAGTTTTCTAATTTAGACCTAACTAAGGATGTATGTAAGATGGTGAACATGTCATCACTTGTTTTCGTAAACGTTCTACGTAATGCTCAGAGTCCTAAAACTCCGAGCTGCTACCAATCGACAGTGAGCCATGGTTTTCAAGTCATAACTAACCGTGACTCCTAAGTCATTGTGGGTCAGTACTGACGGTAAGGAAGTCATATCAATATCGTAGATGTTGCTATGTGTGTGCCCCAAGTGCATGCTCACACATTTATCTGCGTTGATAGGCATCAGGCACTTCTCTGACTAGGTAAACAAGCTGTTCAGGTTTGCCTGAAGTGCATGTATATCCTCATTGTTCCTAATTTCCCGCCAGATTTTTACATCATCAGCGTAGAGAACCATGGGGGGATTTCGTGATATTTTGCAGCTCATTTACGTATAGGAGAAACAACAGGGGGCCCAGGACTGCGCCTTGCGACACTCCACTCTCCACCGACTTCCAAGTGGACAGTTAAGAATTGATCCTTACTCTTTGTCTCCTACCAACAAGAAAGTCTCTTATCCATACGAGCAGACTGCCGGTGATTCCAGAACTTCCCAGTTTCCCGAGCAACGTGAGATGAAGTACTTTGTCGAATGCCTTACTAAAGTCTATGAAAATGACAACGACAGGTATCCTATCATGTTTTGACTTAACCCAACTTTCTCTGACCATGAGGAGGTTCGTCAGGCAAGAGAAATTTTCAAGAAAGCCATGCTGCGAACGAGACAGTAGAGTATTGCTCTCTAAGTGGACTGTGATGGCTTTCTTGATTACTATTTCTAAGATTTTTATGACGGTAATAGTCAAACATCATTCTGTAGTTTGATGGGTGCTGCCCAGAACCTGCCATGTGGATAGTCGTTACTATGGCATCCTTCCGGTCATAGGGGAGTGCCTTCACCGAGAGTCTGAATATAATAGTCAATGGGTAGGCTACAAAGAGTGCAGGCTCTCTGAGCAGCTTTGGGTGCAGCTCATCTGGTCCCGTTGATTTTTACACGTCGAGATTACTTAATATCCGAAATACATTACGATTGATATCCACAGAGTTTATTCTGTTGGATGTCAATGCTTCTACTGTTGGATAAGTGTCTACAGAAGATCCCTGTGTGAAAACCAGCAAAATATCCAACCATGGCTTCTGCTTTCTCCGTATCGTCCTCAATCAGTCAGTTTCGGTCTCTGACTAGGGCGGGTATACAACGACGCATCTTATTTCTATAGTTCATACGGGAAAACAACCTCTTCGGATGTTGCATCGCAGCCTGGGCAAGACGTGTTTCAAAGCATATTTGAGACCGACGGATAACAGCAATACATTTATTTCGGGCTTCTTTGTAATGCCTCACCACTTTGAATGTACCGAGGTGAGTGGCAAGACTCCAACACTTTTTCTTTCGTCGCAGCAAGATTCGGATTTCATGGTTTATCCACGGAGGACAATGTTTTCATCCCCTCGGGACAGTCCACGGAATGAACGGTTGGGTCACTCGTAGACATAACTGTTTGAAGGAGCCCCATGCACCTTCAACTGAGGCTTCTGGATTGACTGGCCAGTCCTCCGAAGAGGGTAAATGGCTTCCATATTCGCTTCCCATATGTTGGGTCTAGCTGGGACATCGGCATGGTACAAGACGTCTGCTGTGAATCTGAATATGATCACAGCGTGATCACTACGAAGGGCTGCTAGGCATTGCTGCTAAGTTGGTACATTAGCTCATTTCCACAGCACTGGTAGCCTTCTATTATGATATGGGATTTATTTTCAGAAAACTTGTTAGTTAGTAATGAAAGATAATCTACTTTTAACTACACTACTTAGAACAGCTGTGATGGCTATTTTCACTGGTTCTATAGAAATGCTGTGGGTACTGTCCTTTATATATTATGCTTCATCGTTTTAGGAGCTAATATGTTCATTGATTCCCCTTTCTTGCTGTAATGTTCATTGCTAGTAGTTGCCTTATGAGTTATTTGGGGTGGTATCGATCAGGCTATTACAGTTTGATGCTGTTGCGTTTTCTTTTCGGAACTGGAAAGGCATTTAAAAGATCCTTGAAGACGTGCTATTGCGTGAAATTGATTTCTTATGCTGAAAACGTACCCTGTTAAGTTAGAAAACTCGGCGTATTGTCATACCATATTTACTTTAGCTGTCTTATCTGTTCAAACTAATTTAGCGAAGTTGTTGAAAACTGAATAACTTTTATTTCAAAATGACTGACTTCATTGTTCGTTCTCATGTCGTAGTTTGAGATCATGTAATGTGTTTAAGCGACGTAAAGTTTTTTATATAGTAACTTTTATCTTTCTTTTGGATTTAGACCACGTGCATATTGTAAAATGGACAGAGGTTCACTTCTTGTGGCAGTTTCTTCTCTCCTAGATCCTACTATCGATAATAATCGACGAAATGAATGTTTCATGGTAATTGTGGAAATATATTGATTTTTAAGTGTATAGGTAGCTGAAGACTATAAAACAAAGCGATTTCAGTTTCATGATACGGATTTTCTATGCAATCCAAGCCAGCCTTCAGTAATTGTGCTTTTTGGACTTCAGTGTCTGGATCATTATTTAAAGTATTACCACTTACCCTGCACCTTAATTTCAGGCATCAATGGGGGCATATTGACGTTCACACTAAACACCTTCTCAAGCAAAACATTTTTCAACTCGCTCAAGGAGTAAATCTTTCATTTTCTTATTCAAATAGATCCATAATTATCGGTTTTCAAAAGAAGAAATGCGAGCTTTCAGCTTAATGCTCAGTCAAATTATCGTTTTCCTCATCAAATGTGAATGGCCTCAACAGTGGCCTTCTATGTTACCTGAATTTTTGTCTTTGGGGAAGATAGGGGTATGTAACAGTTTATCTTATCTCTTCTTAGATTCCTCAGACTAAGTTAGTGCTGAACTCGTTCTTAAGACTATATGAAGACGTCGTGCAGTTTCAAGATATCCCATCATCTCGGCGACGTGATATTGTGACTAGTCTGAATGACAACTTGAGTGACATATTTTGCTTCGCGCTTGATAGTATAATAGAGCAACTATTACCTCTTCATTCAGTATGCACCTGATTCATATTTTACTGAATATAATTTAGAACTCATTTACGAATTACGAATCACTTGAGGTTTGCCATGAGTCTTTGTGCACACTGGGGGGATTTCTCGAATCTTGTCGCCTGAGCGTTTTGACCTCTTGGTCTCCTTCAGAAATAGCTATGAAGAGTTTCAATCTTAGTCGTACTTTGCCTTTCTTAAGTCTAATGACTAGACTTATCGGGATTTGTGGTTTACAAACTGACGCTTTGAACCTAGTCAATGTTTTGCTGTGTAGACGAATACAACCCGGAACCGAAATACCTGATTCGTATGGTCCAACTATTGCCGACAGTTTCTTGAAAGAACCCATGGGATCTTCCTCCCCGTGTAATAACCTCATAAAGGTTTTATGGTAAGCCAGCCATTTAACTACGTCATTTTTTATCCTTTTCAGTTGATAAATAAGCTATATAATTTTTTTATAGCTCATCTTTGTCTGAGAATCCTGAATATTCTGATGAACGTCACAACTTTCTGAGATTATTCGGTGAGGTTATGGTTCATATTGGTTGCCATATGGTTGTCCACTGGAAAGAGTATTCATATGAATGCACCCTATGCAACTGTTTCGACCACGATGCTTGTGATTGTCCGAATTTACCGTCTCATCTTTTCCAAGCCATTTTACGCTTGACTGCCTATCCAATTCATGTAAGTTTTTCGATATATATGATTTAGGTTGTACTGTTTAAAAGACTTTGCAGAGTTGCGCTTATCTTGCATTTTTAGTTGTTTTATTTTTATCTGAAAACAGTATGTTTAACTCATGACCTATGGAAACTAAAAGATGCAGAATTCGAAAATCCGGTATATTTATTGTATTATAAATCCACTCACTTATAACTTCGTATGCAAGATGTATAGTATCTATCTTCTGCCAAGAAAGTTTTCAAATCATATCCAGAGCCTCGTCCGTCAAGTTTTGCCCTTAATATCCGTTAAACTAGATGCGATTTTTATCTGTATGTCACTCATTCTGCGAATGTATGCCTCAGAGTAGGTAATAATTGTAAAGGGGTTGGCTACACCAGGCTATTGGTGTCAACATGAAAATGCAGATTAAACTGAACGTTCTTGCTGCAAGTACTTCGTGTTCGAATTTAAGCAAATATAATGGTCTTAATAATTGGTATTCCATATGGATTATCTAGTTTTTTTTTGTGAAGCAAATCAGGTTAACTGTCATTTGATGGTATTCAGAACAGAAATACCGTAATTGTAAATTTATTCATAAATGAATTTTCATTAAGCTTTCTCTTAGTATTTGACTTGCGGTTTGAACTTCCTTATATCTACCAAGAAGTGTTTTGTAGACAAACCTTTGCATTTTAATTGGTCAATATATATATATATATATATATATATATATATATATATATATATATATATATATATAATTTTAAGTGTTGTGTTTTGTTACGCTAGCGTTTTCTGTTTGTCATTTTAATACTAGGTGATATCATCGTGCACAAGCAGTTTTTGGATTACTGTTCTTCGTTCAGATGAAGAATCACTGCTTAACTTAACTAAGGGGTTCGCACATGACCTCTTTACGATTTGGCGAAGGAATTCATTGAAGGTGAGAAATTTTATGAGTAAATTGGATTGGCTTGGATGAAAATTAGTTTGATTTAGCAATGAATCTTCACGATTAGTGTCATCCTAGAATAGTCATTTCAAAGTACTTGAATTACCACATGTAAAATGAATTTCATCAAATCTATGTTGGTTTTGAATATCTCCCCCTGAATGGAATGCTTTATGCATAACTGCAGTAATTTTATTGAATTATTTAGAATTCTAGGTTTTTAGCGTTTGGCGAGACTAATAAATAGTTGGCTGCTGCTTGTCCTTTGTACGTGAAACAGAACGAAAATAGCAGCATAGAGTCAGTTTGGCATTACTGAAAAGTTAATTATCCGACAGCTATGTGTATCATGTTAGAGTGCAGAAATTATGTGCAATGAAGATTTTCGTCCCATTGATTTTTCAGTTCAACATATGAAGTTTGAAAAAAGTCGTTGATTCAAGTGGCTACACCTTTCAACAACATTGAGAGAAAATTTTCTCAGTAATACGTGTGATACAGGTTAGAAAATTTTGAGAACTAGGGTCGGGTTCATGTGTTACTGTATAATTCCACATTAAGTGGTTTTAAGAAAAAAACACTTCCACTCTGCATATTTTCACACTGAACTCCGTGGAACTAAATAGCATTGATCTATGTGTGTGATCAGTAATAGTTATAACTTCCTCGCTAACTAGTCCTGGAGATTTTTGCTCTAGGATATTTCGCCACTGGTCACAAAATGCGAGTGAATTCAGTTATCATAATTGTTTTTGAAAACTAAGACAACAGAATTTGCCTACCCATAGATGAAGTGGGAACTGACTAGGGTTCCCAAGGGGCCATGTATGCGTCTATCTCACTTCTAATAACCTGAAGTATGAGCATGTCGTTACCGTTCATTAGAATGAACAGATATATCATTGCATTATACCCTGATACAGAAGCTCCTCAGTGCGAATTTCACATTTGCAACAGCAGTATGTTCAGTAGTAGATGGAGACAAAACGCTGCCAAAGTAAAAAACGGTGTATAAGAAAAGAGTGAATAAATATATGAATGTTAATGAAAGCATTCAGGACTTCCAAAGTGACAAAGAGTATATATCTGCGTCGTTGTGACTAATTTGAACCATATCACAAAGAGTCTCCAACAACTCACTGTTATCATTTCGAGGACCCTAACTACAGCCTCCATCTCCCTACACACTTGCGACCACTGGTCAAAGATTTCATGGAGTGATACCATGTCTTATTCTGGCCACTCCAGGTTTTACGTGACAACAGAGCCCAGTGAAAATCTGTTCGATGCTTGTCACACACGGGCGTTTAGGGTGTTTAGACTTGAATTTGATTGTGTAACTTTTCGATTAGGAAAGCCTATACCCAAGGCACAGGAAGACGGCAGGTCAGAGAAGAGTATGCTGTTTTCCTGTTTATCTTATCCAATCTCTTCCGGAAAGCGAAGGTCATATCGGCATGGGATGTTGGCCACCCTTGGAAAACACCTGACTGGTGTCACATTCCGTACAGCAAGTAGTGTGACTTCCCCTCTAGAAGCCCACCATAATGTACATTATTTGCACTATGATGGCGGTTGCTACTATCGAACAGGCCTTCTCGGCATCATGGGACGTTTATGAATGGTCATTCTAGCCAGTATAACTCGTTAGGTGGTTGCGACAGACAAGCTCATCCTGTGTTTCAAGGTATCAACTTTCAGTAGCGTGTTTGGCTCCAGCAGCTTGCAATCTGCACTATACAAGTAGCTTGCTGAAGAAAACAACTGGACTTTATAGTTTCGCAGTTAGTAAAAATAACCACCGTTAAACTTTTGAGGTTAACAGGGACTCAAGGTTATTTAAGCAACTCATTCTACACTTCGTGTTATAAAATCTTATTTAGCTGGAGTGACCGTAAAGTAATCTTTATACGCGCCGCGATTTGTAACAGATTTTTGATTTTCGAAATTTTTCATTAGTGAAAGGTTATGAAAAGTAATCCGTGGAACTAAACGTATACATACTCATATTGTCGGTTGATCAGTGAAATTTCATACACGTGTTATCCTTTATACATTTAAGTGGAGAGAGCTCTTTAAGTGAAACAGAATACCTATTTTATTTCGTCTATTTTTCATCTATTTAAAAATAGAAAAATTTAAATATATCAAAAGTTGTTAAAGATAATTCTAGCAATTAAATGAAGGCAGTTAACAAGAGTCGACATAACATAATCAGAAATGAAAACATTTACATAAAGGTTAACTGGATGTGCCAAAAAGTTTTACCTGCGTATTTGATTTGTAGAGAGTTTATGAAAAACAACGTAACCAATAACAAGCTGTTTCGACGTTTAGGACAAAGAATTACTTAATAAGCTTAACCGATACCTTGTTTTCTGCACATAGTTTTATCTGTCATCTAGGATAGTTTTTGTTAGTTGTTGACCGAAACATCCATATTTTATTGTTTCTCTGCTAGGTTGGTCAACCATGTGGGACTGGTATTCAAAGTGAATGGAATCGTAGAATTTTTGAGTCTGATGACCATACTAGCTTTTTTGCGCGTGAGTTGAAGACAAGTAACATTTTGCTAAGTATATGAATAATCAGAAAAAAAGTATTGATTCGCTACTGTTTGGTATTTCCTTCTTTCTGTAACCTTATTCAAGTTCACCTTGTATTATGTCATTTCATCTTCAGTGAGGTATGTGGTTTCAAAGTGCATTTGTTGAGATACTATAAAGTTTATTGTCGGCAGTCGAGTAGTTCGACTTAAGAGTTACTTATATGTTTTTTTTATTGAGTGTTGGGTACTGTTTTATTTGAGACTTCGGAAATGTCTGTTTCATGGAAGTATTGCCACTTATTGCAACTTTGATAAAACATAGTCAGTGGCTTATAAAATGAATGTTTCTGCTTTATCATTATTTAGAAGGCAATAAGTTGGGGAAATAATATTATAGTTCCATATTAGATTTGTTTATTTGATATAAAGCGCACAGTGATACAGTATTATTAAGTTGATTACGTTTCGAGCATAAATTATTGCTCATAGAGAGGAAATTAACACCTCTATTGTGATACCATACAAGGAAGGAACATCAGAAACCATACGTAGGATTCTCAACAAGGTTGGAATTAGGGTGGCATTTAAACCAACAAACTCACTTAGAGGTAAGCTTTATCGGCTAAAAGATCCGATAGAACCAATTAAGCAAAATAATATAATCTACCAAATTCCATGTAATGACTGTGAAGTCAAATACATAGGTCAAACTAGCCGGTCGGGGTCAGTTAGATTAACAGAACATAGGAATTTAGCTAAACATAGAACTGCAGACCCCAATAAGATCAATAACCTAGAAAAACACTCAGCCATTGCATTACATTCATTAACACAGAACCACACAATAGGATGGGACAAAACCACTGTACTTAAGTCTAATATAGCTAGGTGGAGAGAGAGATTAATTACTGAATCTTTGTTCATCGAATCCACACCCAATACATGTAATAGGAATGACGCAACACCTATACCAGAGATATGGAAAACTTTACTACCAATCAAAAAACAAGAAAACAAAGAGAGATCAGGTGACAGGACTATAAAATCAGATATTGAAAGAAGTGTGATTACATTGATATGATTATGAGCAATAATTTATGCTCGAAACGTAATCAATTAAATAATACTGTATCACTGTGCGCTTTATATCAAATAAACAAATCTAATATGGAACTACATTCTACCACAGTGCCCAAGTTTTTCACTTATAAGATAATATTATAGTCTAAGAGGTTACCGCATACTTCATTTGATGGAAGAACTGTGGGTCATCATTCTGTATTTCAGACTTTTACCTAGTGATTCACGGATTCGTATTATGTTCAACCTGTCGAAGTTTGGGGGTAGTCTCACTAGTCGTGTCACAAAGTGCGGCTTATTACATAGCACAGTATATTGGATGCAGTAAACAAGTAATTAAATTGTTATGTCCTCTAAAACAACAATTCAAGATAGGAAATGTGTGACACTTATCATAGATTTCAGAAAATGAAACCGTTCTGTACTGTATCAAGGACTTCTGTCCTGAAGAAAATTAAACTTCATATTCTTTGAGGCTACCAAAATATTTTGAAGTGTAAGCCAAACGTTTGACGGGTGACTAAGTTGACAGGATTATACTAAGATTTTTACAGTCAAAAACAATCTTCAGTAGTCTAGACTGTTTGGCTCCAATTCCAATTCCCATACGAAAACGAACGTGCAGTAGACAACTAGCCACACCTGTTGTGTGAGGGTTTATGATACAACCTAGTTTCTCAAAACTCGTTATATAGACTAGGATTCAAACCCGCTACTCATCGGTCGCATATTAACTGCCTAAGCTAATAAAACAAATCGCCACTTCACATATTTCAACCGGAGTCACGATATTTCGTTATAGGCTCTAATATATCTGATATACTTTTTTACCTAGTACAGCAACCTTTTCATATTTGAGTCACATTACCGAAATGTCATGTTGTAGTTCAAATTCAGAATACTGTCCATGGATCATGAAGTGTTTTGATTCAGAAAACAGATTTTAGTATTGTAAAGGTGACTTTGCATAGCTTTGTGTGGACTAAAATTGTAATGAAAACTGATCCAAAATTTGATTGTTTAACGCTAGTATTGGAAACGTTATGAGTACGCCGACCGGGTAGTAGTATATCTATTTCGTTTACGAGCAATATGATTCAGATTACTTGCAAATGCAAGTTTTAGAGTGGGGAAACGCATCTGGTCTTGTAGTTTTATGTTAATATTTGATCGTAGTCCCTTCGCACATGAAAAGTGTGCACTTATGAGGAGTTGTATACTAAGACGAAATAGTTGTCCACTGCTCCCAGGTTTTCAGAGGTTCACCAACTGATGTCAGTCCTTGATGAATACCAACTTGAAATCGGAAAATCTGCACAAACCTCCAAATTGAATTATTATCCAGCGCTCAGTAGTAACATGCTTTGAGATAAGTTTTCTCGAAGTTCTTGTAAAAAGTCATGACTGGCAGGTAAACCGACTCTGATGTGAAAAATACTTAACAATATCATTGGATGGCGGTCATGCTATATGGTGAATTTACAGAAGTAGGAATATGTGGACCATTGGGTTTTCACCCAGTAGCTCCATGGCGAAGTGTTCGCTGCGAAACCCGAAGGCCGTTAGTTCGATCCCGGGCGGGATCATGGGTGCGCACTGCTGGGGAGTCACGCTAGAACAAAACAGCTGTCCAGTGCTCCTAAGTTTTCATTGGTTATCCAGCTGATGTTATTCCTTGATGAACACCAACTTGATATTTATAATCCCTAAACTTATCATTGTTTTTTTTACCACTCGTTTTATTATCAATTTAGGCATGATTCTTAGCGTTACTTCAGACTCCTGTGCTAAATATTTGCTTATCTATTTCTACTTGGTAAATATACAAGCTTCTTTGCTTGACACAAGGCTGCACTTATACCTGTGACTGGTTTCTAAAGATTTACGTCTGAAAAATTCAAAAACAATAGTATTACTAAAATATTCTCAACCAAAGATGTAACTATTTAACATTTGAAAACTTAATTCATACCAACTTCTATGTACAAATTATTCTGTTTTATGATGCGGAATTACAAGTTGTCATCCTCTTATAATTTCGGTGGATTTGATAGTATCAGATGTTTGCTTGTGTTCTTAGGTTACAGAAATGATTTAGTAAAGTGTTTGTCAACTGGAGCATCTTGTTGGCCGGAAATATTTCTACCTTTGTGCATATCGTGGATAGAGATATTGATCCAGACAGCTCCAGCTGCTCAAGGTACGTTGATCTAGTGTTAATTGAAGTATTAGATTTGATCACATAAACCACTTATATATTTCATCATTAAAGTTGTTTTTTTTAATGTCATTTTGTTATTCACGTTCATTTCTCATAGGTTAAAGTGATTTACATCTAGTCTCTGTTATTATAAGTTATTTGTTTGCGCAAACTTCTTTTTTACAGATTATTTCATGTCTTCATTAATACCATAATTTTTAGATTATGAGGAAGATACTAGATTTTTGTCACCTATATCACCTCTAGTACTCGAATGGGAAGCAGTAGATTCATTTTTGGAACCATGTTTGTCAGCAGTTGAACTATCATTGAAAGCTCGTCATTCTGATATGGACATGGGTTCAAAAGTGAAAAATCTAATTCATGCAATTTTACAATCTCCAAATATCACAGATCCACTTCTTAGAGCTAAATGCCTGGCTTGTATATCGATGCTTTTGCAACATACTGATTCAGATAACGATTCGGAACTGTTAGTTTTGTTTTTAAACAAGGTAATTTTCATCGTTATAATTTTGCTGTTAGGTGATTTTATCAGAGCTTTCAGTTTGGAGAATATAACCTTATTTCAGTAATTTTATGGATTTGGAGTTCCACAGCTTAGAGTTTTATATCTAGATCTGCTGCACACAATTCAATTAAGGTATCGTTTAAGCTTATGAAACGTGTGTATCTTAAGCCGTAGTATGTAAATCTGTGCTTGGTGAACGAGTTTCACTTATTTTTAATTTGTTTACTGCTCGTATGAGTACATGTTTTGCCCAAGTTTTTATTTACATTAAAGCTGTCCAACTAGATTGAAAACAAAAAAATTCTTGACAATGATATACCACTGTTTTACAGTGTGTGTAAATTCCTTCTTGTGGGAAAAATCTTATCTAATGACATCAAACAAAGCTTCATTAAGTCAGTTTAGCAGCATGTGAAACCGATTTTTACAGACTTTTGGTAATAAACAATAGTAGTTTATTAAGGACATTAGTTTATTTCACCACATTTATGTCTTTTGATCTGTGCACTGAGTAATTTTCAAGTTTTGGGAACATGAAAGTCATTTGAATTGAAGAATCAGGAAACACTAGGCTAAATGTTATTGTAAGATAGCAGATAACGAGCAGTTATTCTGTTCACTCAGTTACATATGGGATATCCGTTTTCGCTAAATGAATATAGTCTCACTAAATCTACATTTGATTTTCACATAAACTGGTTGATTTCCGTCTTCTCTGAAAAGTATTTTGATAGCATTTTGTTCTTATCTAATTTCTTGGTATACTGCTGTGAAGTTTGGCAACGTTTACTGACGAGCCATTGTGTCAGGTTCTCCGATTTTTTGTCTGTTCCTAGAGACATATTGTTTTCGATGCCTTTACTTCAATTTGCCGGAGGTTGGTATCCGTTTTTCTTGCTTTACTCTTCCATTGTTTGGAGTGCAGTTTTCTTGGTTCGGTTTCTTCACAGTTGGGCGTTTTCGTCAATGTCGTTGATTCTTCTTTGTGTTGTTACAAAGTGTGATGTAAATAATTACTGGAGTTGTGACATTATTTCTTACATTTATCTGCCTTTCATACTAAATAGGAAATATTTTTGCTATTCAGGTGTTGTTTTGTGTATTTATTACCGGAGAATTTATTTTCATCCTCTCTCTTTTGTATTGTTTTGGTTGCTTAATTAGGTTTAAATATGTACTCATCACAGTTGGTAACTGTTTTCTATTTACAGATTTATTACTGGTGATAGGTTTTCATGTGGCGAATTTAAATGTGATGCAGTGGTATTTCTGGTTTGTTTCGTACTGTCACAAATTTCTATCGTTGTTCATGGTTATCTCTCGAAAATGTTTTTTTTCCGAGGTTTATTTAGGATAGTTTCTAGAGCATCCATACATAAGCCGACAACTTATTCGTTTATTTCTGCAGTCATAATGCATCTGGAAATTCGCACTGTGTAAATTGTTTTGAAATTTCTTTGAATATGATTTTAGCCTAAGAATGGAGTCTTTAAAAATGACAGTACTTCGATGGCCGTTATCATTACTTCACCAAGCTTGCGTAATAACAAGCTTAAAACTGTTTCACTGATGATTTCGTTCCTTTTGTAAGTCGTCATCAGTATTAACATAGGACCAGGCATTACTGCGTAACGCTTCGAGTTGCCACAGTTGACATCAGTACATCAAGTAAAAAGGCAGTGAGGTGCAAGATGAAGATAAGAAAATTTAGTCAAAAGAAATATAAAGTACGAAAAGAGAGAAAGGAAGAATGAGAAGATGGTGAGATTCGGTATAGCGTCGTTAACATGAGGATAATGTTTGTATACATCTGCGCCACTGATATTGGTTCTCAGCCATATCACTTAGAGTCTCCAATCACTGGTTCCTCTTGTCCCGAGGACCCCAACCACCTAGTGTGTATCGCCCCACATGGCTCAAACCAACAGTCAGAGACTTCATACATTGGTGCCATGTTTTAGTCTGACCACCTCGTGCCTTTTCCCAGCCTGGGCCTACTTCGACCAACATTGTGTGATGGGGCAATCGGCGACTAGGCATACGTAACACGTGTCCCAACCATCTCAGTCGATGAAGGTTCACAACCTCGTCAACTGACTTACCTCTTCTCCCTAAAACTCTACGCCTGACTTCTGCGTTACTCACGTGGTGACACTATAGAATACGGCGACCTATACTACGAAGGCGACGGTGGTCGAACACCTGAAGCCTTCTCATGTCTTCCACGTTCAATGGCCATGTTTCACAGCCATACAGTAGAACAGACCGGACTGCTATGCACTACACGCGACCCTTAATAGACAGTCGGATGTCACGGCAGTGCCATAGGTGGCGTTAGTTGGCGAAAGCCAGCTGAGCCGTTTGTGTCCGTGCAGAGATTTCATCGGCCACTGAGCCGCTAGGACTGATCCTACTTCCCAGGTAAGTGAAGTGCTCGACATACTCAATAACTACACTCTCTATTGTTAGCCGTGGCAACGTTGAAGACCAATCCTGGAGCAACAATTTGCGTTTGGGTGGTGAGAAATGCATCCCAAACATTCTTTAGTTGCCACTGCAAGTGTTCAGAAGACTCTGCATCTTATCAGCGTCTTCACCTAACAGGACTATGTCGTCTGCATATTCTAGGTTTAACGGAAATTCTCCCGCGATTAGGTCAATGTCTGTGTAATGAGGTGACGAGAGGGGAACCTCCATAAGAAAATCTATGATAAAATTGAATAGGAATGGAGATAGTGGGCATCCTTGACGGACACCACTCGATGAGCATAACTCCCTGGACATCTTACCACAGGCTCTAACATGCCCACAAGTGTTCGAGTAGAGGGCCTTCAATAAGGTGATGTACTTACTCGACACGCCTTTCAGTGAGAGACATTGCCATAGGACTTCTCGATCAACGGAGTTGTATGCCGCCTTCAGGTCGAAAAATACAGCTAGTGTCGGGCGTTGGTAAGCGTATCTGAATTTCAAAACCTGGTGCAGTGTGAATATTTGGTCGATACACCCACGGCCGGGTCAAAGCCTGCCTGGTTTTCTCAGGCTTGCTGTTCCCGAGCTCCACTCAGGCGTCGAAGAATTATAGAACCTAGGATCTTAGATACTATGTTCATCAGGCTGATTCCTCTGTGGTTATCACAAGAGGACTTCTCGTCTTTCTTAAAGACTGGGATAATCAGTGATTTAGACCGGTCAGAGGGGATCATATTTGATTCCGTATTTGATTTTCTAAGGCAACCAATTCAATGTGAAAGTGGAAAACTGTGTACTGCTTCACATGTGAAACACTCATTATTTATGCTTAGTATATTCAAGACTGTGCGGGCAATAATACTTCCAAGCTAAACTTTTTGGCGTAGTTCACACATGACAAGTTATTTTTCTTTTTCTTAATCCCTTAAAATATAAAGTAGTACCATGGCACCTCAAGACACCGTGATTGATTGTTGCGGTGGCAGTGTCACTATGTTATGAACTTTAACAGTTGTTGTGGAAGTTTATGAGGTTTTTTTTCCTAAACTGTCACAAAAGACTTTCTTAAAATAGTGTAAAACTATGATGGTATGGGAACTTACAACTTGGTTGTCACGTCACTTGACTGTAAACCTGGGGGTTTCGACATTCAAACCTGTATTCTTACATTTTTGTAAGCTGGAATAGCTTTATTTATGCTCGTACAGTTAGTGCAAAACCAGCATAGTAAGCGATTAAATTATAAATTAGTTATTGAATGCACACAGCTTAATAATGAATCCTTTGTAACTTTGTTTTAGATTTTTGAATCTTTGAACTCTTGTCCTGCTGTTGATGAATCTCTGTTCGTCTCTACGCTTGATTTTGTAAACCGGCCAAAGCAAGTTAAAGTTTTGCATTTAGCGTCAGCAACATCATTTCTCCGTTTCACTCGCGCTCATCCTGTTCGAATGATGGTAAGTTCGCTACTAGTATCAAAACAAACAAGTTGTTTGTTTTACTAAAGTTGATCTCCCTGCAGTATTATAAATTACTTATTTCTAGACTACCCTACTTTGAACTTCTTCAGCAAATGTAGTTTTTTGTGATTTTCCAATGATGTAAATTGTCTGCCTCAAAGTTTTGTTCTATTTGAAATATCATATATCCCCGTTATGCTAGGCTTTGTAGTTTCTGTCCGAGATAGCCTTTGTCAGCAGACTAATTTAAGTAAACATATTTTTACTAAGTTATCGTAATATTTGGTTGGTTTGTTCAAGTAATAGAATCGACTACTTGATGCAACCAAATACTGTATGGGTGTTTTTATAGTAGGCCATGTGCCACGCTTACTGTGTCACGGCTCATAGTACCACCCAGTTACTCGGGCCGAAGTTTGTGCAGTCGGGTTTAAACGTAAAGCCCGTTGATTGAGAGTCAAGTGTACTACATCGAAGTAATCTAGTTGTTAATGACGTATTTTTCCGTGATTAGTTTTAGAGTGTACGCTTTCTATGTTTACCATTCATATCTTCTTCATTTTCTATACTCTATTAATCCTTTTCTTTTTTAGCCTTATTTTGATAAAATTCTTACTGAAATAAATAGACTTTGGACGGGGAAAATTTGTGGAAGCATGGAGAAAGGAATTCTTTTGGAGGCTTTGGTAATACTTGGGTAAGTGTGATGGTTATTCTACTTACATTGGTGTCTACTTGATGGCTAACAGTGGAATTTAGACTGTGCGTTTTGGGACTCGTCTCTTGGACGTACCTTACACCCCAATGAGTGGTGTTGTTCCCTCTGAGACTCGGACCTACTTACTTTATACATATATTGTTTTTCGTTTTTCGCAGAGTTGTATCCACTCTTTCTTACAGTTGGCATACTTTCTTTTTTGAAGCTTTCGGGTTCCTCAACCAATCGATATACAGTTCAATTTTCTTCAAAGTTTACTTGTTAATGTTTATGGTCCATGGTGTGATCAAGATCCGAACAATGATAAACTATTTTCAGAATTATTACAGGCCTGTGAATCGGGTGCATCTGGATTAGTCACAGCTTTGGGTCTTGATAAACCATTTGAGCAACTAGGAAACTTGGAATCTCCATTTGTTCGAATCCGGATAAATTTAAATCACAATGTTCGCTCATTGTTAGCAATATGTAGACGGCTGGCTGAGCCTTGCAATAGTCAGCAGGTATTATAGTATTTGTATATCAAATCACTTTTTTCATTTTGTATATAGCTTTTGGAAAAATTGTTATAAAGAACAGTATTAAGAGTTTTATTCGTTAATCTTCATATAATATGTAAGTTTTGTTCACTGAACTCTGCTTTTTTGGCTGGTTCAAATTATAGTGCTATAAGTTACCGAAGTTCAGTAAAATATAGGGTTATTTACCCTGCTGTCATTTTCTGTTTGCTAACTCTATTTACCGTTGCACTATGCACTCCATATATATCCCCTTTTGAACATATGTGTACATATTGGTATTGCTCGAAAATGTATTGCCACCCAATATTTTGAATTACATGTATCTTAGAAGTAGCGTGTAAAGGTGAAATGCGTCTGAGCTTCTGAAAATAGTAGTTGCATAGTTATAGTGTTTATTTAAATGTCTGGGGTCCAGATGAATATTCTCATCGACATGAAAGTTGTTTCATTACATGAAAGAGCAAACAAGCCTTCATACGCCTACAACAGATATGATGCTGGGCTTGAAGTAACTGCACCAATTGACTTTCCGTCCATATTTATGGAAGATTTTGTGTCAGTGATATTCTCTGCTCTGCATGTGTTAAGAAGAAAGTAGCAGATGGGACAAATATACCGTGAAATAGCACTGAAATTTTGGAATCCCAACCCTATAAACTGAGACTAGTGACCAGTTTTTCTTGCTGTTTTATGTTGACTAGTCATTCCCAACTAGGACTACCTTTGGATACAGTACAATATAATACCTGAATCAGCCTCGATCCTTCTATAAAATCACTAGTGGAGCAAATCATTTGGGAGGTGACACTCCTTTTGGGAGGGGGGAGTGTTTCAGCTGCGATCCTTGCGCAGTCTTGTTTGGTTCCTGTGTTTTCAATATCTGCATATGCCTTAGAAGTGTATCAGTTATATCAGACTACATATTATTATTATTATTATTATTATTATTTATTCGACTTGATATAACTTTCCTACTAAGATTTTCATTATTGGATGCTTAACTGTATTATGTTTGGACTACTCTTTTCCTAGCTTGAGAACATATCATTACCCATTTTGGAACCAGTCTTGTCTCCAGTTTTGCGTGTACTACGGTGAGTACATTCATAAATTATACATTTATAACTTCCTAGAGTTTATTTGTGAGAAACATTTGAGTGGATGTTTACTCGGTCTGTGTCCAAACATGATTCCTGTTTATTTTTTTTTATGAATTAGGGCATTTAACGAACTCTGGTTACCAGAAACTTTAAAAATGGTGCATCCAACGATAATTCCCGTATTACGTCAAACAGATCAGATTAAGTTGTGTCTTTTAAACAACCAGTTTCAACATATGTTCAAGGTAGGCAGTTACATACGGCAAGTAACATACGTTTTTGATTAGTTATGCACCTCATTTTATAAAGAATCTGCTTATAGCCACGTTTTTCGATGTCTATTTGTACGCTGCAAAAATGTAATATATTGTTCGGGTCTTATTAAGAATTTTTATTCGATATTTGTTGCCACATATGCTAAAGTTTTATTTTTGTTGACTTTTCACACTTTTGCACTTGGTACCAACCTTATTGTGAGGTGGTTCCGTGTTGCGTGTATATCTACTGTCTCACTTTCTGTCCCCACAAGAGATAGTAGATGGAAAATAAGGAAGAGAGAAGTTAAAGGGAAATAGTGTACATTGGAATAGTTTGTTTTTGAATTGACAGCTCTGGATCGGTTGACATCGATACTACTTTAGAATATTGAAAGTGAAATAGGCGGACAAATCAGTGACTCCACTGAGTGATAACAGTGACCTTGATGTTAGTAGTTACTGCGAAGGTTTTGATTAGAACATAGAGTTATCAATTTTGATTCGATGACTATGTATGATTATCTTCATATCCACTAAGCAAATAGTGATGAAATTATTCCAGTCATATTGAGTTAAAGTATAGCGGTCAAGAGTCCGAATGTTCATATGTAAACACACGCATCCAGGTTTAAGTATCACTTGCTTTATAGGAGTGATATTATCAGTCTGTGCTAATCGAAACAGTTGAAATGAATTCACTACTTGTTATTTAATTGGTTGGTACGAGGATATTTGGTCACTATCGTTGAAACAATATTGATATTGATGATGGATATTAGCTAGCAGTAGGATTCAGGACATGCGTTTCGTCCTAGTTAGGGCTGGTCACCTGAATGTACATGCATTCCAGTGAGTGGCGGTCCCACTAAGACTCAAACTCAGGACCAGTCGTTTCAAAGGCCCGAGTGTTATCCATTAGGTTACTGAGTCATGTCAACCACTCCTTGTGCGACAGGTTTAGTGTAGTTTTGGAAATGTCAGCAATATTGAACCATCCTGTTGTGACCGAGTGGTGGGGTTGCGCGCGTGGGTATAATGAATACTGAGACTCAGTGAACACCTCAACTGAATACCTTTACGACTGACCTCCCTCAGTACCTTCTGCTTCACTTAGCCGCGGTAAAATCAGAAGACAGACGGCCTGTGACTGCAAGAACAGCGACAACAACTTTTATTAGACGGATACATGACATATATGTATTTACAAAACTCTCAGAAAGTGAAGCCACAAGTGTACCAATCAGATTTCTTGTACGAGGTCGAATTCCTCCAGTCAGGTCCTCATGTCAGCGCATGCTTAAATCATGACCTGAACATGATCTGATCACGACTTGAAAACTCCCCTATTGGCTGCCTTCTTGTCGCTACGTAACACATGCATACAGGAGCCCATAAGCCAATCATTCCGGTGTAATCAACATCGGAGATTGATAAGCTATGACATCAAAAACGTTATCAGTGTTGCACATTTTGTAGATTTACTATAACTGACGAAATATGCCCATTTATTCATGAACAAGATATGTATCAACGAAGAAATATTTCTTTTCAACAACTTCATTATCAAGGTGTACAATCGTATTTATACTCGGTAAAATGACAGATAATTGCGCTAAAAAGTTGCTCAGTCAACATGCAAAATATAAAATCGGTGTAGGTGGTGGTATTTGTTCAAGTGGAAGAAATAGAAAATGGGTCACTGAATAAGGAAGGAATCGATAACAATTGGTAAGATAAGAGACACGTGTTGTCAAAGAATTATAAAACGGTGATAATTTAGCTGAAGCATGCAAAATAGGTCAATGAATAAGGAATGAATTGGTATTAAATAGTAAAATATGGGTCAAATGTTAATGAAGTGAAAATTGGTGACAGTGATGATAATAAAATAGAAGTATACCAAAGTGAATAGGCGGGACGGACGAGGACGTCAAAGTCAGAATCAGAAAGCCAAGACAGGCGTTCATTAGCCTGAAATCAGTGTGGAGATCTTCTGCACTCAGCATGCGGAACAAGATACGGATTTTCAACACCAACGTCAAGTCAGTCCTCCTGTATGGTTTAGAGACTTGGCGCGTCACGAAAGGCATTTCCAATAAACTACAGACATTCATCAACAACTGCCACCTACACTGGCTCGCTACTGAAGATCAGATGGCCAGAAAGAATAAGCAAGAAGGAGCTCTGGGAACGAACCAACCAAGAACCTATCACGCAACAAATATGCAGGAAGAAGTGGAGATGGATTGGCCATGCACTGAGAAGGCTGACTGAAGACATCACGCGTCAGGCCAGCTGCTCGAGTGGAATCCCCATGGGAAGCGACGAGTTGGACGTCCGAGGGTAACATGGAGGAGATCGTGCGAGGAGGAAATGAGAGGTTGTGGGCTGTCGTGGAACCAGGTTCAAAAGATCTCAGAGAACAGAGTGTACTGGAGACGTGCTACTGAAGCCCTATGTTCCACTAGGAACCCAAGGGACTAATAATAACAATAATAATAATAATAATAATAATAATGATAATACCAAAGTGAAATGAAATTGACAAAATCAAAAAAATGAATTGTTAAGACCAAGGTAGAGGAAGCGGTTTCATAAAGCGTTTTTGAATGCAAAGTTTCTGTTTTTGTTTATGTGTAGTTAATGCTTCAGCTATGCGTAAGCGGTGGAAACGTAAACCTCTGGAGTAGTTCAATTTAACTTTGTAAATTATTTTAAAGGATGAATCTCGAGGTGCTGAATGGCCTAATTCCACAAGGTGTTCACATATGGATGAAGTCGTTTTCCTTTGCTCGCCTCTGGTAAGCCATACAGGGTAGTGTTCGGCAACATCTTTTCGAAGGGCCCGCTCACAACGTCCAATATAGTCAGCTCCACAGGAGCATGTGAACTTGTTGATACACACAGAAGTGGATATAAGTGGAAGCCTATCCTTCACGCATTGACGAATCAGACGGCGGCTGGAGAATATCAACCTCAGTCTAGCAGCATAGAAGCTACTATTGATACATCTTGACATGCGATTTTTCAGCACTTCGACTGTGGTGTCTCGTTTGAATTCTATAATCATGGTTAAGATTTTCTTAGGGCCTGTAATGGGATGACGAGTGGTTCGTTTCTTCAGATTCTTATCAATAAATCTCTTAGGGTATCCTTTATTAGATAGTATTATTCTCAGAGTTTCGATTTCAGCATCCACCGTATCTTTTGAACATATCCCATAGATTCTGGAACACAATGAGTGAATGAGATTTGTTTTACAACTAAAAGAGGTACCCAATTATTAAAGTTAGTGAACTGTCCGGTCCTAGTTGGTTTTCGATAGACTGACCTTTGAATCGAGCCATCATCCCTTCTTTTTAACGTTACATCTTGCAAGTAACGTTGAATTTAAATCTTCCTTTACTGTGAATTTAATGGAGGGGTAACAATCATTGAAACGTCTTAGCAGCTCATCCACTGAACATGTTCCGTCGCAAATAAGAAAAGTATCGTCGACGTACCTTTTATAGAAATAAAGTTCCGAAATTATTTCTTTAAGTGGCCCGTTCTCGAGCTTTGCCATAAAGATATCAGCCAGGACAGAGCCTAGTGGAGACCCCATTGCAACTCCATCCGTCTGATTATAAATTACATCATTGAATCTAAACTGTACATTAAAAGTACATCCTAATATTAGTTCTTTTAGGTGGTTCGTAGTAATCCAATGTTAATATTATTAGAATCAGTGTAATCACACAGATAACAAACAGTTTCGACAAGTGGAACATTGGTAAATAAAGAATGAACATCAAGCGATATCAAACTCTTACCGGTTACGTTGATTTCTCCGATGCAGCGAACAAAACCAAATGTATCGGGTAGACTTTATTTGCATAGGTTTGATCTCACAGGTTCAAGCATTTTTGCAAGCCACTTCGCCTATTACTGATAAGGTGAATTAAGCGAAGACTAAGATCATCTTTATGCACCTTCGGCAGACCATATAAACGGGGCTTGTTTGAACCAGATGGTCTAAGCTGCTCATATATATCTGGGGTAATTAAAGATTCTTCTTTCAATTTTCTTAAGATTTTCGATATTTGATTTTCAATATCTTGTGTTTTATCTTTCTGACCTCTGGATTTTCGAAATTTATTATCATCGCTGAGAATTAGGCATGGTTTATCAATATAATCCGACTGATCCAAAACCACGATACCAGATCCTTTGTCTGGGCGTACAAGTATAATATCCTTATTGTTTAGTAGTCTTCAATTGTGTTTTGTGCTCTTTGAGTATAATATATATTTCGGCTCACCTAAATATGTTAATTAACAAAGTGATTTTACTGTTTATTAAAATTTTCTTATTTAACTGGTAAATTTAAAAATGTATTGTAAACATTTTTCCTTACAGTCATCAGATGATACAAACCCTTCGTTGCATAGACTACGCATTTTTCTTAATGAATGTCATGAAAATTTGATGATGATTGTTGGACTGTTATTTGTTTCCTTGGGATCGAAATTTTATCGTTTACCAACTGAACAGTTGAGAATTGCATTACATGATGGTTGTTGTGCTGCATTTGAACATTTACCTGATCTAAAACTCAACAATCTTTTGCGTATCCTTTGCAAATATTATATTGGTTTAACATTGTCGATAAAAATTATTAAGAACATTTAATCATTTATTTTGTTAGTAGGGTTTTGTTGTTGACATACTGTTGATTAGATTTATAACGCAATGATATAGTATTATTTACTTGATGGGGTTTCGTTAACATAACACACAATAGGGTGGGATAAAACCATTTAACTAGAGTAAAAATGTATGCATCTGGGTTTTTTTTTAGTCAAATTTACTAAGGAAAGTTCAATAGGGTCACAAACTATTTCTGAACACAAAAATAGTGTAAGGGTCTGTGTATCGTTAAGGCTTCAATAAATTTCAGAGTGCACCTCTGTTCAAAAGGTTTTGTAACTAGGCCTGAATAATGCATTAGTATTGATATTTTTGTTTGTCTCACTAAAATATCGTTTGTGGTTTAGGGACTGACGCATCTGTTATAACCATTAATGGGATGAAACAATCCAATATATTACAAATTCATTAGGAAAAAGTGACTATAAATGATGCCCTAGCAACTGATGAGACAACTACATAGATATCTTTATTTTATGAAGAAACTTTCTTTCAATCCGAAATCAAGGAATTTGATTGATAGGGTGACCTTTACAGTCTTTGGGTGAAAAGATGTGCCAAGGTTTCACGTTCATGGGTCGATGTATTTACCGTATGTATATATGACTGATAAATATAAAGTGAAGTAATAAAACTGGTTTTTGACTAGTCAACATATGATAAGAATATAATCCTTGGTTCACGACCTCTAAGGTCGACAAAGGTAATACATCGTGCTGCAACAAGTTTATTGTACTAATGTGCACATCTAGTTTATTATTTATTATGTTACTCACTTTTATTATCTATACGTATACACTCCTTATTTCCAGTTGATGTTGTATGGCATGCTGAAGATTCTGTACAGTATTCCCCAAAATATTTCAGAATAAAACCATTATTATTACTATTATTACGATAATTATTATTTATATTCCTGAGCTCAAATAATTAAGCTCGAAAATGTCAACTAGCTGTCATCTTGTTCCTGAGATATAAATATTTACTGATATTTTGCTTATATAGTGCAGAATCAAGCAATTGTTTTTCTTTGGAAAAGTGTACTGATTTTCGTTTTTTTCGGTAAAATATCACAAAGTGCTTCTTTATACTTGTCGTGATTGCATTTATGTGAACATCATTTTATCAAATTCTTGAAACAGCCCGAAAAAAATTGAATATATATATATGCCTTAAATTAACTCCAGTAACTCAGTATACATTTCCACTTAGATATGTTTATTTTGTGATACATTTAAATTCTTTATCACTATCTTTACCACTTAAAATACTAAGTCGTCTATATTGAATGCTATTGTTACTTAACTTTAAAAACTTGTTGTCAACCTATTTAGGATCTATTATTCGTCCTTTTATTCGTTACTGTCCTAGACTGTATTTTGAAACTGCAGTTGCTCCTTTAATCCCTCCTGTAGTTGAAGCAGCTATTGAAGTAAGTTCATTATTCTTTATTATTTCTATTATTTTACTTTACAGTGTAGCCAAACTGCTTAGAGGTGTCAATATTTATCGAGAGATTCAGTTTCAGCGTTAAACCAATTACTTAAGACCTAAGTGCAGAACGTTGCCAGACTCCTAGGACATGTACCTATTCACTTGTTTGACGATGTATACATATATATATCAGTTGTTCCGTTTGCTATTTTCATGAAATCTGTAATTAAGTTCAGAAATTCATATGTATTTCATCAATCAGTTGCTACTGTATATGGTTCTCTTAACTATCATCTCATTGGTTTTCTGTTTCTCGTAGAGAACTGGAGCACGATGGAATGAACTGAATATGGCTGAGTACGTTTAACCATTATTTTTGATACGATAGTTTTATGGCTTATATGGTTATATAAACTGATATGACTCGGTATCACATGCTGGGAAGGATGATCTTAAAATATATGACTATCACGCTGCCATGTGATTCTGACTTTTACACGCTTAGTGGTCTTATATTACTGTCCTTGTCTGCGTTTTTACTCGTGCCTATAAGTCACCCACTGAACTGAACGCAGGACAAGATTTTCGCAACACTAACGGTTGGCCTTGAGGTTCGCGTAATCAACTACTTCAATAACCTATTGGGTTTTTTTATTTTATGAAAAAACTACCTAAAATAGGATGATTAACTTGCAAATGATTCATAGATTGCACGGTCCACGTTGATGTTCCTCAACTGCTCAACTGTGATATAAACAAAGTTTCCGCTGAAAACGACTCAGCCGAGATCACAAGGTGTGATCTCTGATGCAAAAGTGTCGTTTGCAAATTGACCATCTTATTTTAGATATACCTGCTCATGCAAGTTAGCTAGCCAGATTCAAGTGATCTAAAATAATTGGGTCCATGAACCGACTTTTTCTGGACATATCGCCGATGATCTCGAAAGAGTGGAACGGCCGTCCTGTGCTTAGATCTGTTTGACTGGAAAAATACTACAAATAAACCTGAGGAATTTTTCATTGCTCAATTTGTTCAGTAGTAGTATCTTACGCCAGTTCATAAAAAAACTATATGTTCAACCTAAATAACGAAGCCTAATAGGTTGTCTCACTGTTTGTTGGGACGGTGTTTGTTTCTTCATCTGGTATTCTTTTCTTCCCTCCCACCGTATAGTGGAAGACACCGATTAATGGCTTGCTGTCCTTATATGACTGTGATTTGAATAATGCATATCCACACAACAACTTTGACCATTGTTTTTACTATACTTTAGTTGTTAGTCCCTTTATACCTTCACACGCAAATATGCCTACATTTCAATTACACTCTACTTATGCTAAGCTTTATTCGTATGGATTTAATTATCGAAGCGAACAGAACTCATTTTAACCTTCACTCACATATAATTAGCACTGTAAGATGGATTGTTGTTCATATAATCATTTACTCTGATCTAAATAATTGTAAACATCCATTATTAATCAGACATATTGTCATCTACATAATTTATTATTTTGAACTGTGTTCTAGTAATATTGGATTCTAAGGAAATCTTTTCTGAAGAGAATTCTCGAACTATTAACGATTAATCGTTTTAAAAATTCGCTATCGTTGACATACATTCCTTCTTTAATTAAGGGGTATCGCTATATAACTGTAGAGCCTGAAGCAAAAGTTATTGGAAAAAAACATTCTTTGTTCATTAGGCTGTCTTTTGAAAAACGAAATAGCTGCTGATTTCAGGGATAAGAAATGAGATAATACATAGTAATCCACTTCATTTAACATTCAGTTATTTCAGAACCTTGAGTCTTACGCAAATGAGTGAGTGGTCAACAAAAAGCTTCCCGATCGGAGTAACACAAGCAACCGGAGTTTGAAGACTGTAGGTGACATGGCTCAGAATCTATCTCAGTGGGATAGATTTATCTTCACATCATTCTTATCTTAAGCATCATACTGAATCCAGTATTTTCTTGTTCCTGCTTATTATCTCATCACAACTTTCTACACCACTTTGACTGCTTTCTTTATTTTTCATCTTATTTCTTTCTCGCTTGAATTGGATTCGGATAGTAGGAAACTCATATCGAGCATTTTAAAATGTCCACTCAAGGTGTCCAGTAGAATCCCAATTTTATAAGCGTCTTCACCTGACAACACTCATCTACGTACCGTATAAATCTACTAAGGACTTCTGTAAAGTCAGACGACGAGTAGAAGACCTCCATAAAGCACATTTATGCCAAAGGTAAATGATCAAGAGATGTACATCCTTAACGAACACCACTCTACGTGCACTACTCACCTGATTCCTCAGCACAGCCTCTGACACGCCTATGGATGTCCGAGAAAGAACTTAACACAAGGTGATGTGCTTACTCGACTCCCCTTCAGCGAAATCTACTGTAAGTTCTCTTGATCGACAGAGTCAAGTGCCGCATCCACGTCGAGAAACAAAATCAGTGCTGTGAGTCAGGAAGTGAATATGCGGTTGATACACCTACGACCAGGTCTGAAACGTGCCTGGTTTTTTTGAGTTTGCTGTTGACGAGCTCCACTTAGAAGTCTGATAGTTGTCGTAGACATTATGGTCATCAGATTAATTTTTCTGTGGTTATCACGGGAGGATATTTCTCCTTTCTTAAAGACTAGCATAATCAGTAACTAAGACCGACCAGAGGGGAAAATTGGTTTGAACTTCGTTCGTAACATTAAATGTAGATATGATTGCAAATGGGATAGCTAATTGTGTCGGTAGTAGTACTTCTGGTTAGTTCACTGATTCATGGAATACTTGGTTGTAAGGATCTAAGTTGCTGCTGAATAGGTTTATTATTATTTTCTTATTTTAATACGAAGACGTTACCTAATATTGTGTAATTCCTATTCCTTGAGGAAATTCTTTAGGGTATCAAATATTATTTCCCGTGAGTAATCAATAGTTTGCAAAGTAGTTATGTATTAAAACTAAATTTCCTGATAAATTGCTTATTACCTTAGTGAACGTAATTGTGAAAATGAAGAAGCGATTGTTGCTGAACTTGTTTTGGACAGATCAGCTCGTTTGTTAAGCCGAACGTGTTTGGACATGTTACGTAAGTTGTCAGATTTGATTTTTAACCAACCAACCTTTTTCTTATGATTCACTGAGGTATTAGTTGTGAGATAGTTGGTAAATGGACCCGAATTCCAATTCACCTAACAAGAAAAGGGTGATGTGATATCATTATTAGGCTTGATTAAATTAACGTAACTGGTGGTATCATTATTGCGTGAACTTTAAATATGGTTTTTGGTTTCAAATGCTGACATTTGAATTAGTGACTACATTTCAAATGTTTAGTTAGTGATTTAAATTTTTCAGTATAAAAAATTAGTGGTGGTTTTCTGTCGTTAGTTATCTAATGGTTAATATCTTTGTTTCAAAATCAATACTCTAGAATGGTTTATGCTACTCACTACGATAATCCTCGCCTATGATACTTTCTATGTCAAATAATAATAACGATAATAATACTAAACTGGTAGACAGTATTTTGAAAATAATTGTCATCATGGACTGACATCATTTAAAGAGTCACTCTAAGTAACAAAAATGGATACCTGTGCCTTCCCTGTCTGGGATAATGAATGCAATGGTTTAACATTTTGTAATAGAAGTAAATAAACTGTTCATTACAGTCATTTTTAGTTGTTCCGTGAATGATACCAATCTCTGATAGAGACTATCTTCATAGCTGAAACTGTTAAACTTAATTCCAGTGTTTTATTACTTATTATTTAGGTTTGATATATACTTTTAATGGCTATGAAATATCTGAACAGTTTAACAGTCCCAAGGAAGATGGTGGTGAAATTGAGGATGGGGATGATGTAGATATGTCAGAAACAATGGGTGCTAATGGACATCCAGGAACTGGCGATTCACTTGGACATTTAGCAAAATTATTGGCTAATATGCATTATATGTCTTCGGATCTACAGTATCAAACACGGAATCTTCCTTCTGATCCATTGCTCCTGGGTTCATTGGCAAAATCTTTGTCTTGGCCGGATACTTCGATTTGTTCAAAAGCTGCCCAATGGATATCAACTCTTGTGGAATTGGTTGGTTCACATATTTGTGGTCATTTTATGTTTCCTAGACTTGTGACAACCAGTAAAATTTTCACACTTGGTTCACGGGATTAGTATCAACTATGGTTTTCACGCTTTCATGTGACTACGATCTATTCATCACTTTTCCAATGATTATAGCATGAAATTGGCAGGGATTTCAAACACCTATGAGTCATCGACCAGTTTGTATACTGGACAAGTTATTGGTTATTCTTTTATTTGTAGACCATTTTGATTTACAACTCATCCGTTCATACATACTAACAATTAGTCCAGAGTGCACAATAATTTACGAATGCACAGAGCCATTTGGCTAGAAAGCACGTGACATACGGTACAACTAGATTTGGTTGTTAACCTTACGCATTGTGGCATGAGACAGTCATTAAATGATTGAAAAATTAAGCGCGATACCTAGTACGTAAAATATCCTTTTCAATAGATAAAATATTCTTGAATTGATTCCGTACTTTGGATCCTTATAGCTACAATTAGTTTACACGTTAGAGATTATTTTTATCGATTAATAACTGCTGCAAGTCTAGTAGTTACACTGTTATAAATCAGGACGTGAATATTCAGACTAATGTGTTCACTGATGTGAACTTTTGATTTAAAAACGTCTCAGGGTTGTTACTGCAACCGTGGTAGTGTCTACTGTGGAGCCTGGTACATTGATTCCTGTAGACAGTTTCATTTTCGAAATCATTCTGAAAAGTGAGTTGGTAACTGAATTATTGAAAGTCACGATTATTGTCAACTATATACTACTGCGCAGAAATTGTGAATTCACTGTTACATATTACCAGTATTGTTATTTTTTGTTATTTTTTACAGTTAACCAACGCAGTCGCTCAGAATGGTTGTGGTCCAAAAGTTGCTACCACACCTTTACCTGCTCCAGTAGCAGAATCTATGTTACTAGGAATTCTATGTGGTCTACACGTGAATGGTAGAAATGCTGAGAATGCTCTCAGCTGTTTATTATATGCTGGTATTAAAACCTATCTAGCTGTAGATGTCAATGTCGCAAGACGAAATCTACGATCTGTTTTCACTCGTATTTTACTGAATACTGTAAGCAATGACGAAAGTAAAGAAGGTAAAATACAACAACAAATTCAGGTTGGTACTTTATTTTTGTCTCTTATTTGATAATTATTCTGCTATTGAGTTCGAACCGTTGTTTGAATTCTGAATTGTGTTTATCACAAGATTTGTAGTGTATAATAGTCTTGATATTTGGTTAATAAAACGGGAAAGTATATTCAATATTATTTATTGATATACTTATCATTCTCTGTTGTTTTATTGGATCGAATTGTCCGACCTGGATTGGCATATGAGTTGGGTTCCTATGCGGATGCCTCGATATTGCCTGAATGTTGATTATGGTCGTGCAAGTACATCTATCTGGCGAGTCCTAAACAGGATGAAACCTGTGTCCTGGATTCTTCTGCTAGCCACAAACAAGCAAATTACCATATTCAATATTGTTGTAAGATTAAATATTTGAATAGAATTGTGTTCTTAGGTAGTATTTACAATTCTTAAGCTTTTGTATTCAATGTAAAACTGAGAATTAACGCAGATTAATGGTTATGATTTCAGGTATTTGAAGAAAAGATGTTTGGTAACCATGACAAACCTATGACCATGAGAGGAAAACGTGATGCTTTAAAAAGCTAGTCGATCCTATTATTGGAGTAGGTTTTATTCTCATAATATCCAATCCTGTTTAACCTTTATGTAATATACATATTGCCGAATAGAAATATATATTTTTCATTTTACCCGTTGTAACTTATTTCATTACTCTGGTACAGATTCAAAATGGTTAATCGAATTTATTAACGTAGTCGATTACTTGACTACTTTTCTTTCGACTGTACACATTGTGTCATAACACTAAACGTCTTTATGACAAACTGACGTTTTAGGGCGAAACTATCTGTTTAGTCATTATTGATCATTTAGTAGATTTGTTCGCTTAAGTCTTTGTTGCATAAAAGAAACTCATTTATGTGGTCACATAATATGCTGTTAACTGGGTCTACGAAACTGTCTCCATACAATGAACTTATTCACTTGATAACTATTATCTTTTTTGATTGAAACCTTTCAGTAGCTTAACCATGTTTTTCATTTTAGTGTACTACACTTATCCTTTGAATTAATGTAAACGTTTTGTGTTTATTTCTGGATAAAGATGGATATGCTTAGAAACAGTTTCATAATTTCCATTAGAAATTATTTTTCTGGTAATGTGTGTATGATATTACTTGTACAGTTTCTGTGATCATGATGATAAGAAAGCAGTTGTCTTCAAGTAAATGTTTCTTTTTTCCTCCATAGGTTCCTCTCAGTCAACGTTTTCGTAATGAAGTACAAGTACATAATCTGCCTCCATTACATCGTCCTAAATGGATTCGTTCACGGGAATACAAAAGTGCCATACAAATTGACAATGATTTTGGCCTTACTAATTTATTCTCAAATGGGACTAGTTAAATTATTGTTGTAAAATGACTAAAAATTGCGTTATAGATCTTTTTTTATATGAGATAAAATGCACAATAATAATGTATATTTCTGAAAAATGAATTTCTTCGCATAACTTTTGACAGTAGGTGTTTGTTTTGCATACAGTTGGATCTATACATCATTTGCAGTGAAATGTCTTATTTAGGACGTGATTGCAGTAAAATTTGTGGTTCTTAAGAGGAGATCTGCACTTGGTTACGATAAATAAAATTAATTTCTTTGTAAATGGACTTTACAAAAAATCATAAACACTAAGGCTTAACTTTATGTGTTAAAGATTCATCTTATCTATTCTTGAAGTTAGTTTTATGGGACTAAAAATTCACTCTTAAATTTTAGGAAGGAATTACATTATTGTTACTTGAGACAGTTTTTTTGCTGTAATTTTCATGCAACGAAGTGGGTAATCATGTACTGCTGAACTGCCAACTACCACTCTGATTTCATGAGCGGTGACCCAATCAAACTAATTTCATTTTTGCCAGTATGATAAGGGCTCAAAAATGTGCTGTTCTGTTGCAGATATTAAGCTGCAAGAGAATTAAGGTAATTTCATCACATATAACATTTTCAGTGAGTAGTCTCTTGTCATTTTGAATTTCTGAGTCTCCGATCTGCACCTGTTTTTTTTGTACTCAAGCCAAGAGGTACCTCTTTTCGTTTCATATTACTGGTCCCAGCAATGTAGAAGTTTGGGTACATTGATTCGCTTTATAGATCTGAAGGTGCTGTGATCCCTTTTGACTTTCATCGTCTGAAATCTTTATAGTTAAATTATCCATCACTACCAATATTGTCGTCTGTTTACAATCTCCATATATGCTTATTATTGAAACTTGTCTCTAGGCTAGGAAATTCAATTCATACTACTCTAGGCATTCAAGCTGCCGTCATCTGACCAGATTCTGCTAAAAGAAACCTCTTTGGTAAATGCTCACATACTGGTACGATTTATGACTAGTAGAACTAAGTTATATTAAGTCTTATTTGAGTATTAGTGATGCGATCACTGTAACCTAAATGTGAACATTAAAGCAATAAAACCATGGATAACGCTTTGTACAACTACTATGTGAGTATCATTACTTACGATTGTTTGCTTAGATAATTTTTGAAGTTGGTTAACCAGTCAATGGTCAAAATTCTTCGCTCTGAAAAGATTACTGATTTTCTTCTGCTTATACTGGTAAATAGTTTCAACTTATGTAGCAGAAAAAGTCAGATATTGAATATGAATACTTGCCCATGTATAGTTAGGATGTAATTTAATTCCTCAGTTTCTTAACCCTCCCCGTTCAGTGCTGGCTAACATAAGTTATAAGAAAAGGGGTCGATTCAAGAAAACAGATATGTTGGCATGAAGTGAAGTAGGTTGTGTACGAAGTAAGATACAAGTACACAAAAAGGAATGCATGTACTTCCTCCTGATGTTTTGTATGACAGTGGTCTTTATGGGCCTACTGTCTTTAAGAATAAAGGATAATATATTCTTAAAAGCCAGTCCTAAGATGACCAACATGATAGAAGGTCAGTTGTTATGATCCCAGCACATTTCACGGCCGATCGCTAGAAACAGAGAAAATTTTTCACCTACTAGAAATAGGTATTCAGTCACTAGTTCCTAGTGTTCTACATCTTGGTCACGTGATGAACAAAGTACTGATGATCGCATTTTTCGACTAGATTTGTCTTACTCGGTTTCTCTTTATTGTTTGGTTACTTAAATTTAGCAAGGATGGTCTGTTTTCATAACCTTACTTAGACCTTTCGTTTTCCAGCTGAAGAATGTTTCGATAGATGATTTCCTCTGTGGTGGACTTAGCTGTCTGTTTAGCAATACTGACGCTCGAAATCGTGTTTGTAACTTCTATGAAAAGTGACCTTAGTTACTGACTTCACTTGGGATGGGTATCTATATTATAAGTGATAAGGAAAACGCGAATATTAGGCGATTACCCAGTGACTGGTGGATATATAATGTCGACCTAGAGGAGTTGGTAAACCATCATTTCGAACTAATATCAATGCATATGAACTCTAGTCTCCGAGTTTGCTGACTGGTCTTTAAACGCTTTCTGAACATATGCAACCATCGAAATACAGCTTCTGACGTTGGTGGATGGCCCTGTAAATTCCATTTCAAGTCAGGTTTTGATAGTCGTCCTGTAAGACAGCCACCAGATTCAGTCTGTTAAGTATTTTACCCTTCACGCAAACGAAAAAGCATTTCACAATGGAGGTTTCATGAGCTGACGTCAAGTAGAATTCAACAAACAGATGCTGGTACATCTTATTTATAGAATGATTATTCAGCAACTTTGAAAATAATCATTTTTTCAGAAAACGTTGAGGTGAATAAATATGCTGTTTGTTCCGATATTATTACTTCGTTTGACAAGCTGTCAAGTCAATCGAGTAGGAACTGATACCTAAGAATGATGCTAAAAGGGGAAGTATGCACTGGGGATGCAAAACAGTTCAGTTTGTTTAGCTGCTGCGAAATTCACAGTATGGTCCAAAAGATATTTCAGTGAATAAAGAAATGCTCCTTATAAATTCCTGCTCAGGCTTTCCAGTTATATAGGTGTGTGATTGTCAGCCAGAACACGAGTGATTTTATTTCAGTGAACAGTTTGAACCGCAACTGAATGATCATGTTCCAATTCAAATGTTCACGGAATTTAGTTCAATATAAATTTGCACAAGATAATGTTTTGCAACACGACGGAGAATATCAAATACTACAGGAATGTTTATTCAGTTTAAATCACGATGTGTGGCAAGTTTTAGGTGATTTTAAAGGCCACCCTAGCGATAATCAAAATAACTAATTAGGTTTCTTCATTTCGGCCGAAAAGGCAGATTTTCATAAAATAGAGAAGTCTGGTTATTTCAGTTGTTCCTAGGTCGGCCTTCAAAGTTTTACTGATAGTTGATTGTAACTGGGGCTTGACATTGAATTTTACTCAATGTGATTATGGACTTGGCGTGAAAAAGCATCTACGTTGTACATATTTCTTTATTTACATAGTTTTAAACAATCCAACTAGCCCATTTTCGTACTTTCAAATATGTATGATTTCGCTGAAACTAGTTTTCTTCAAGTTACTTACTTTCGCTCATCGAATCCTACTTTCACACACACACAGCCTTACACTCTAATTCCGCTATATAATCTCTGGTTATGTCAGTGATTTTCATAATGAGATTCAAGAGAATTCAATTTCAAACTTCAGCCACAATCATCCAGCAGTAAAACTTGCCACCCATCGTGAGTTACGCTGAGTAGAAATTCCTTTATTTTTTGGTATTCACCATCAAGTGCGGATTTGGATTGAACTGAAATCCTTGAACATTCATTTATTTGTGGCTTTACCGAAGAAAATTCCTAAATTAAACGGTTTGAACTGTCCACTCGTGTTGTAGTGGTGGTTGGTATTCTTATACATACACAAATTGGATATGTAACGGTAGAACCTGAAGAGGAATTTGTCGGAATGAATATTCTTTGTCCATATTTTTCCTATTCGGCATACATTTAAGTAGCCAGATGAGAACGGTTTCTCTCATTTAAACAATCACTATGACCATAAGGCTTAGTATTGGTACATCATGAAACGAGACAGAGAGATACAATAAAATGTAACACGCAATCATACGGAAATGCTATATGATGGTTAGGATGAACATCTGTGCTATTGCGACTGATTTGAGTCGTACTACCGATTCTTAAGAACCGACTTCAATTATCATGTGAACGTTTTCGTCACGGCTCAGAGTAACAGTCAGAGACTACATGGTTATCCTTAACGTTTTCCCCGGTCTAATTCTACTCTAGTTAGTGCTTCGCAGTTTCTAAGGACCTGAGAGATTACCATACTGACTAACTATTATATTGTTATAAGGGCTTGTGTTTATACACTTTAACTGTTCCCAGCCACTTCAGAATTCGGACAGAATTTCAAATTTCCATCTAAAACTTCTGCGCTGAAGCGTCGAAGAGAATCTCCAGGAGTCGTTAGGTTTACTTGGAGATTCAGTTTCTGTCTTACAAAGGTCAGTAGATACTTCAACTATTCCGAAAATCAAAATGTAACTAGGAATTGCAGCTTTCGCAAATCAAAAAAGAAATACCAGAGGAAGTATTCACAAAATCATTTTATTTAATCATAATCTTTCAATGAATATCAATTTACGGAAAGAAGCAACTAGTGAAACATAGAGTCAAAATAGAAATCGAAAGTGAATCTCATGTTTTTCTTCAGATAAACTGAGATGAAGAAACATTAATTAGTGGATCATACAGTGCAGATTACTTAAAAAGTTGATTATAAGCGCAAATGTCAATGAAACCCTGAAGAGAGTTAGATAGTTCAGATAAATGTCCACTTGACTGTTTTCATTCAGATTAGTAAAGCATTTACCCTGTGCATTATCACATTTTTTGTAGGTGTACAATAGGATAGAGCAGCATCAGAAATCTGTACAATGGTTAGATTAAAATAATCAAAATTCGTTGGTGTAATATACATCCGTATTGAAGTCTTTAACTAAAAGCAGCGAATATGCGTGAGACGATTACGGGGTGCAGACAACTATTCAAGTACGACCAGCTATTGCGGAATGCGGCTGTTCTATTTTTTCCAAACGCTCGAAATGCTTACGAGCATTGCGAATATTTAGCAGAGTTGCAGAAGAAGCTAAAATGTTAAGAAAAAATCAACTGGAAGACGGAGATATGTTCTATGCTGCTTAAAAGGCAACAAAATCAAAATTAGGCTTTCGGTAAGTATATAAATTTGATTCTTGGAGGAGAACACATCGAAGAGATTGCACGTAAAACACTTTACTTGACAGTATTTAGGCAGAAACCATAACAACCAACAATGGGATTATTAGACTTGGTGTGTAGGGCAAGACCTAATGGATAGTCATTTTTACTGTGATCGCTAAGGTATAAAGTTTGTTTTTAAAGGGATTAGGAAAAAACATGAACATTACTTGGGTGACCAATTAATTACCACAGCTCACCGAGTGACTGAAATGCCAGTCATAAAATACACTTAAAGTACTACCTTACTTCACCGCTATATCATTTGCTGTCTTTTCACCTGTGGCACCGACTGGCGAGATATCCGACTATCTATCAAAGGATGAGTATACTGGGTTGGAATTCGCTCCATCCTGTTGCAAAGCTGAATGGCTATTCAAAGTAGAAGGCATGAAGTGGTTGCTTTCAATGACACATTGATTGGTATTTTAGTATAAAGACTTCCTCTTCTGTATGTGGGTTATTTAGTCTTACTTTCAACTCGTAGGAATTGACTGGTCTAGGATTTTGAATGGTTTTCATAGGACATAATATCGACGCCCAATTACTTCGATAGTTTATATGTTCAGGTATCTCTGAAGTCAGCTATAAGTCTTATGGGATAACCTAGTTTATTGTCCTTAACAGTACCATAAATTCTGCTAGGACTATCACTTTTAGGCATTAAATTAAACCATTTATACTCACCCTACATAGAGAATAGGATGAAAAACGTTAGCTTTAATGTAATAAATCTTCATACTAAAATACCAATCAATAAGGCGCTCGAACCAGTCAGAAATCAACCAAATATTGACTTAGAACTTACTCATAGAATTAGAGTATCGATCAGTAAAATCAAGACAAAATATATGGAAAAGCAGAAAGAGTAGCGATGGGATCACCGAAATCCCGAAGCGTAGCAGATATATTTATGAATATTCGAGAACACACAGACTTAAGAACGTTTAATCCTACACTTAAGATATAGTCGTGACATGTGAATGACACATTTACATTGTTGAAATCTGAACACATCGACAGTGTCGCCAAACATATAAGATCAGTAATGGGTGCAATCCAATTCACTTACGAAGTAGAAAATGAACAAGGAGAATTACCTATGCTGAATTAGAGAGTAAAACGAAAAACAGATGGCAGTTTAGACACTGCTCTCTACAGGAAATCGACACATTCCAACAGGTATCTAGACTTCAGACCATCGCATCCAATATCGGTTACAGCGGGTTTAGTCAAACGTCCAAGTAAGAGAACTAGGAAATTCATTAGTCAGTGCAAGGCTTCAAATAAGGGATTGAAACAAACAAAAGAAACGCTACTAATTAATTATTATTCTTCAGAGTTTATTGAGTAATTCGTAAGAACACATGAAACGAAGTCATAACAGTAATATGAATACATCATTGAAAAGTTTGTGCATGTGAGTAAATATATGTCACCTACTGGTAAGTGTGAATAAAATATTCCAACTATTGGTGAGATCATGGACAGTAATTTTGCTCGAAATATTACCAACATAATAACTTATCATTGTGTGTAAACTTTGCATGAAAAACTTACTTATATCACAAGGATATGAATAATTATGGTGACACAAATAGAAAGGAGTCTAAATTCTCTATTGTGCTGACATTTGAGGAAGAAGCATCGGAAACTTTACGTAGAGGCTGTAATTTGGGTGACGTTTAAACGGATATGGGTGATTTAATTGGAGTTCCATCAGACTTGAACATTTGAGTTTTGTGCGTTTTAATGTTTTCTGTTCTTGAATGTTCATTTGAGCGTGATGTCTTCTCTGCCTGGTTAGTGGTACGACTGTTTGGCGTATTTCTTGTTGAGTGACCTCATTTAATCCTATTGTTTTAAGTGACGATTCTAATGCTGCAAAGAATTCTGGTTTCCAGGCATCTCTTGTATTGTAATTCAATCCTTTTTGAAGTAGAAGTTCTTCCATTTTCGTTAGTGGTTGTTTTTATTAGTTGGCAACACAGTCGTTTGTCTCTTCGGTTGTAGGTGCTTCAGAGATTTTGAGTAGCTTTTCCTGAAGACTTTTCTTCGTTGTCTCGAAACCAGAATTCTTTGCAGCATTAGAATCGTCACTTAAAACAATAGGATTAAATGAGGTCACTCAACAAGAAATACGCCAAACAGTCGTACCACTAACCAGGCAGAGAAGACATCACGCTCAAATGAACACTCAAGAACAGAAAACATTAAAAAGACTGAAAAATATGAAAGATATCGTTATACTTCCAGCAGACAAAGGACGCACTACAGTAGTCATGGACAAAGATCATATCAAGAAGGTAGAGGAATTACTCAAAGATGAAAATGTATATCAACCACTTGAAACCAATGCTATCCAAAAGTTCGACAACCAGATCAATAAAACCTTGAACAAACTCTCCAAAGCAGAAGAAATAACAAAGCAAGACAAATGGCGTATGAAATCGAATGGACCTGTCCTTCCTCGATTCTACGGCAGACCAAAACTACACAAACCCGACATCCCTCTACGACCAATAGTCTCATTTCCGGGAACCCCAACGTACAACATATCCAGAGAACTTTCGAGAAAACTGGAACACGTCGTCCAATCATGCAGACATTCCATCAAGTCACCAACGGAATTCTTAGAAAAGATCAAAAGCATTAACATAGAAAACAACGAGTTAATGATATCCTTCGATGTCACAGCACTATACACATCCATCGAACCTCAACTGGCCAAGGAAACGATATCCCTCCTGCTAAATGAAGACAAAAACCTTTCAAAACGCACAAAACTCAAATGTTCAAGTCTGGTGGAACTCCAATTAAATCACCCATATCCGGATTAATTGCAGAAGCAGTGATGCAGAGACTGGAAGCCATTCTACTTGTGATCAAACCAAAAATTTGGATTCGCTATATGGACGACGCTTTTGTCATCATTAAAAAAGATAAAATAGAAAACACCCACAGTTTGATCAACAACGTTTTCAATGGCATCAAATTCACAATGGAGAAAGAGTCAAACAACCAACTGCCATTCCTGGATGTCTTAGTCAGTAGAACAAATGCCGGAAAGCTGGAAACCCAAGTGTACAGGAAGCCAACACACTGACCAAATCCTCAACTACAATAGCAACAACCCAACGACACACAAAATCAGTTGCGTGCAGACTCTATTCAAAAGAGCGAGAACACTGCAGCACAACAACTTCACGGAGAAACGAAGAAAGTTACTTGATGTCCACCATAAAGAAGAACGGCTACCCACAAAACTTCATCAGAAGATGCCTATCCTGTGCATCATCAACTACAAAGTCATCGACAGAAATCAACAAACGCATCGTCCTACCATACATAAAGAATGTATCAGAAATCACAACAAGATTGCTGAGACAACTTGGAATTGGTTTGGCTCATAAACCAACAAATTCCCTCCAAACACTATCATGCAGACCAAACGATGCAACAACCAAAGAAGACAAACCGAATATCATTTACAAAATCAACTGCAATAACTGTAGTCAACACTACATTGGACAAAGTAGCCGCCCTCTTCGCCTTCGTCTACATGAGCACCAATTGGCTATTAAACGTCACGACATTTCGTCACTCACTTCAATGCACGTGGATAACAACTGTGGACATGAATTCAATTTTGAAAAGGTAGGAATTTTGGAGAGAGGAAACACAAACAATATCAGAGAATTCTTAAGAGCTTGGCGTTCAGGTTAGTCAGCAATCAACGGATGTATAGACATGGACCCGATCTATCAACTAATAAGAAAAATGATAAGCAACAGAAAGGTCAGAGGTCACGCAGAGGAACAGCCAACATGAAAGTCTATACAGTCAATGATGATAATGTCGTCGAGAAAGACGATGAAAGCTTCACGAGTAAGCAACCGAGCTCAGAGAACACAATACAGCCAAGAACAGGATAATATGGAGATGATTGAACGGTGACCGCTTAATCGAAAAGAGCAATGGCTGTCATGCATTTCAAATAATTTCACGGTGTATGTCTTTCACAAAGAAATAATACAGCGAAGATGGAATTAATATTTGAGATTGTTCAGTTTTATAGTCAGTAGTATGAGTTCAACGGCATTTATAAACTGAAATAAGGAAATTAGTAGGTTACGCAACATTATGCTCTCATAAACTATGTTCAACATTTATCTGCAACGCAATATTTATTTCATGTTGTTGTTGCTTGCTGAAGCTTAGTTGGAATGGACTGAGCTTTCAAATATGGTACTTATGATAAATTATTGATTATGAGTTACCTTTCTAGATTTGGGATTTCCGCTAGCAATCTAATTTTAGTTAGCCTATACAGTCGTAAGTTTCCTTGGCAACTGGAGAAAGTAATCTCTGCATGATGAATTTACAAGTTAGCTGTCGAAAAAATGAAAAAATATATAGAATTCTTTAAAACGTACGTTCGATTGTGAGTAAGCGGTTTAGGTTTCACTTCATTTACTTCACCTCCAACTGACAATCATAGTCCCCGAGATGATAGGAATCAGTAGTTGATAACTCTTAGTGACATGGTTGAAAATCGGTCACAATGACATCTTCTAAAGCTTCAATATTCATACTAACCCCTTTCTTCAGACTGCTTATTCTCTCACACGACTTTGTCTACCTTAATATCACTCCTATTCTATTCCCCTATTCTTTGTGTACTACTGTGAAGTGTGGCAACTTGTACCGATGCGTTTATGTGCAAGGCTCTACGTTGATTTCATCTATCTCTCTGTCAATCATAATAATACTCATTTCACCTCCGTTGAGTGGATAAAATAACAGGAAGAAATCGGTACGTAGAAATTATAACAACAATAAACTTAATACGCTTACCAATAGATGGATCTGAACACACAACCATAATATACGTGTTCGACGTAAAAACATCAATGAAGGCAGCAAAGTACTGATTACGTAGTTCAATCTTGGTAAAATTTGCTCCAACTTTACTACAAGACAGTTTGAATTGTTTTACAATATTGCTTATCTTTTCAAACCTTAATTAGCATTCAATAAGAGTAGTCAACTATTCACATACCTATGCACATCGGAATGTGGAACTCTGGAATGACAAGCGATTTCTAGAAATGTTGCCCTTTCAAATAAAATTACTTCATCAGCTTCCAGCACTTCACAGAGCTGTTTCAAACTTCCCTCCAGAGTTTTAATATTTGGAATAAGCTCATAAACAATTTTCGACCAAGCTTTAAATAATGTTTCATCCCATATAGAGGTTGTGAAACATGAACAAATCAATGGTTTCGTAACTGCTTCGATATTTTCCTTCCTGGCTAGAAAAATCTGTGACACAATAGAAAAAAAAAGGAAACATAAGAAATAAAATAGATTGCTCTTGAAGGAGAGAGGTGTTAAATAGAAAATTCTAGTGATTATAAATTACAAAACTGGTGAGTAGTCATAAAGGCAATCACGAAACGAAGCAAAATGAATAGGTACTGGAAGTCGGGGAGTAATGGGCAGCTGTTTTTTCAATTTGGAGGTTTGCGGGGATTTACTTATTGATTTAAAGTTGGTATTCATCACAGACTGACACCAGTTAGAGAAACATTGTAAACCTGGGAGCACTGGACAGTCGTTTCGTCCTAGTATGGGACTTATCAGCAATGCGTATCCGAAACCTCGTCAGGGATAGAAACCAGGACCTTCAGTTCCCACAAGCAGCACGCTATCATTGAACCAGTGGGTCGGAATCCGACAATCCATAATTCCTACTTCTGTCAGTTCACGATATAACGCGACCTCCATCTAATGCTGTGACCGATGGGGCCAACCAAGTCGAACGTGAGGACAGTTACTCAACGACGGCATTGGATGGAGGTCATGCCATATCGTGAACTGACGGGAGTAGAAAATATGGACCATCGGATTCGGACCCAGCAGTTCAATGGTGACGTGTTCGTCGCGAAATCTGTAGGTTCTAGATCCGACTCTTGGCGAGGTCACGGATGCGCACTGCTCGGGAGTCCCATACCGAAATGAAACAGCTGTATAGTACTCTCAGGTTTCTAATTGTTCTTCAAGTGTCTTTCAGTTTGAAACTTCTCAACAGCGCATACTATCAATTCCTGAAGTAAACGAGAATAAGACCATCATTTGGAGTCAACTCGTTTGTGCTAAGTGAAGGCAACAGAATTTAATCGTTATTAGTTTTGAATTCGGAGCAATCAGTGACATACCCGAAATGAAATTAAGTGTCATAGATGGATATCTCACTTTTTAAGAACTGACGGTTAATCAGAAAAGATTTGTTTGCAAGAGGTTATTTTAATTTTATACAGCCTACTTAACTTTTGGTGTGGGTGAAGTATCTCAACGAAAAATGGAGGTTACTTGCACCAAGCAGTAGTTCTCCAAAATGTTCGCTAAAAAAGTTATGAAAAGTGGCTTTTGAAAGCAACAGTTAGCTAGTACACCTTACCTGTAATACAGACAACGAGTAAGACGTGGATACTAATTCCAAGAGACAACCAAGACCTTTTATGATGACAAGTATACGTACCTGAGTTCTTCATCTTACAGTGAGTGGCGGATACCAATTCATTGTCATAATTTCTTGAAAATGCTAAATTTCTTAACTTCTTTTACTGGTATTATCCTTACTTGGTTGGCACTTATATTTGTATGTGAAATGTGGGTGTTTGTGTCTATACACCAGTGAAACAAGTATTATGTTCTGTTCTTGTGAATTCCTGCTAAAATGATTTCACACACCACGGAACTCTATGTATGAGGTTGCTGAATACAGGTGAAATATTACTTAGTCTGGCGATGTTAAGTCACTGCATAATAACTAGAAGGTTTGCATTATAATCTAGAAGTTTTAAATGACCTTTTTTAGCTTCAATACTTACATAACCAACAGTGCTTGGGTATTGACTCATTCTTGATGTGCGTAAAGTTGTTAACGTGCACAATTATAGTAAAACTAGTCAGTTACTACTGATAGAAAACATAATATGCATGAAGTAATAAATATCCATCATCCTTAAATTTCTTTCGTGTCAGAAGTATTGTTACTTGAAAGCTCTTTCACCTGGCACGGGAATACCACCTGCAAACTTTATGATAACTGATGAATAAATTGGATGGATCAATCCATCAGAGTAAAGGGAAATAAATCTTCAAGAGAATGTGGATGATAAAGTTTGATAAAAGTACAGATAGTATTTTTCTAGAAATGAAAACAATCAAAGATTACATATGACTGTTATTATTGAATTTGGTCTAAATATGAACTTCGAATCGCGAATAGAAGCGGTCTTACTAGATCCTACAGGTATGTCAAAAGGAAGACAATATCTGTCGCTTAAGATGGTTCTGGCAAAGTATGTAAAAAGTGGAAAAGGATAAACCTGGTGGATTATTAAGGCAGAATCCTGTACACTTAACCTTTTGTGATCAAATGGTCAACCTGACTAAGACGTTTGTAAAGTAGGTAGGAGAATGCAGTATTATGTATATCAACAAAAGTTTACAAGGAAAGGAATACTTCCGAAACTGCTGGCAAGGTAATTACTCACAGCTTGAATAAAAAAACGTTGTTCGTCATTAATTTAGGCATTCCACTTTTAACTTTGCTTTATCTATGGATGCTAAAATTGGTGTTGCTTGAGAAGTGTATCTCAGAGCTTACTACACGAACATGCACTTAATCTCCAAGTTGTTATTATGAAATTCATGGGATGTGGAATTTAGGATAAACCCAGTAACTGCATTGTTAAATTTTGACTTTACTAGTGACACCATCAGATAATAGTAAAAATCAAATTGAATTTCAAATTTCAAATCGAGATTGTTTGTAAGACAGTGGAAAGGTGAACATCCTGTAAAAACACAAAACGTAACTGCAGCATTCGGAAACTACCGGTATGTGAATTCAGCAGTTATTTAGTGAGCATACTAAACACAGATGATGGTTAAGATTTTCTGTAAGGAGGATAGCTGACTTCGTGTTAATCTGTGAATCCAAGCATAAACGAGAAAAATTAAAGAATAAAAATCTTTCGGCAAATCTTAGGGACACGTAGTAAAATAAATGACCGTTAAATAAATTAATTCAGATGAAGAGGGTCATAAACGTTAAGGATTACAAAAGTCTGACTGTTAATGTCAAAAATCATCAGCAACTAGCGTAAATAACAGGTGCGTATTGGGAGAATAGATGTGTGGAGCAGTGGCTTATTGATTTAAGCAATTGGTCTTTAACCAGTGGATCATAGGTTCCAACGTCACTTTATCTACTGAGGTTTAGGCAGCCCTCACACAGTAGGTGTGGTTCATTGCCTACTACAAGGAGGTGCATGAGGTTGCTGAGTGCGTTTCGGTATTTTCTTCGGGAGGAGACATAATAATTATACACAGTATTCAACTTCTTTAACCTTCACAACCTGCAGTAAATTAAATCCATAAAAAATACACTGTCCTCTAAAATGGGCTTTAAAATACACACAGAGACTTTCAATGTATGCATGGCTCATGGCTTCGAGTATCTGAGGTCTAACCAACCAGATCTCGCAACTCTGAGGGCGAGGATATGCAATTGGGTTCTACAGTATAAAGTGAACTTTCTGGTTGTTTCCCAGTTGATAGTTACCCACATGCTGTTAAAACGAATGATGTAGCATGAGCCAGAAAGGATCAAGATATGCACCGGTTTTGTCTTGCAGTCTCTACCTAGAAAATAATGCAATTAAACCAGATACCTTCTAGTGTCCAAAGCTATGAACTACACTAATTATGTATGCTTGCGATACTACTCCGTTGCCCAGGTATAAGTAGGTGCAGTAGTTTGAACTCAGGATATGTTGATGGAAATTCGCAACCTACGTGATTGCAGTTGGGATGGTGCAAAGAATAAATTCTAATGGAAAGTATAAGGCCTCCCAAAGAATATCAAAATAAAGGTCTGATCATTATAACAGGCGGTTTTCATGTACAAGCATGAGGGATAACGCAAGCAGAATGGTACTCAGATGCTTTCAGAACTCCGACTAAGGTAACAGAAAATGGTCCACGCTTGCTACAGCTGTAGTCTGATGATCAAACTGCTAGACAGCTTGAGTTTCGCACTAACAAGCACTGGTTTCAGTTCAACGATGCACATAAACTGCACTGCCACTAGATACCGTTGTAAAATATCAACAGATTACTCTTTCTTAGCGCAGTCCATTCAATCTACCGAAAACAAACCTAGTATTAAGACATGATTTTTGGTGTGAAAGAATAACGATAGTGACCCAAATCTGGGAGGAGGTAAACAGGTAGTATATACATTCACGATCCATGCGAAATCCGTCTTCCCCCTCAAAAATCGTTTTTTTTACATGCGTTTCGCAGTCTGCAACGTATGATCACAATCAAAATTTCGAATAGAACCGATAAAAGACCGGTAAACCACTTACAATCGATAAGATTTCTAGAGATGTAAACCTTATTTCCTCCTTCTAGAGTAATGAAACCTTCAGTGTGCCATATCCTGCACAAAAGTTCAGTCAGCTCTGTGACTACAGTCTCATATTCCTCTTTACAAAAAACCTGAGTATGGTATCTGGGTTGAATCCCTGTAGCATTTCATCAATTAAAGTTTCTTTTGAAGTTATACTTCACTACTTGGGTCCATCTTAGCAGTCTGAAGCAAAATATGAAGAGGTTGAAGTTACTAGTTACTACTAGCAGCTGCTTTTTGAACTGCTCCATCCAGGATCAAAAGAGTTTTTAAATACTGTTGACTGGCATAACATCTAAATTACACACCATTTCATTGAAATCAGTTTTTTAAAGCTAGTGGCTCAAATTAACCTAAAAAGTTTCTATCTCACCCATGAGTTCGGACGAACGAGCCACAAGGACTTTGAGTAACTGTTGTATGAATTTTATGACGAGTCTGCGTGAAAACCCTTTGGTGCTAGTCTACCGAAGGGTCGCATCAACGCAAGTGTTCAAGAACAGACCCTTTAATAATACGACGCAACCAGGGTCAAATCAGAAAGACAGATAAGTCGAAGTAAAACCTCTCACAAAAGTGAAACAGTTCAAGTTACCACATGGCACAGCAGCATGAAAAATAAGAAGTGCCTACGGAGAGAATGGTATCTACGTAAACATAAGTGCATGCAAAGTAAGAAAATAAATAGATGAATAATGAAAGTATTCAGGACTCCTAAGATGATAAGAGTGTATGCACCTCTGTCACTGATAGATTTGAAGTGGTGTCAACAAGGAATTCGACTCCACTGACCGAGAAGTGCTGTAACAGTCTTTGACAGTGATGGGAGTGCTGA